CCCATAGTATACCTATGTAATTTACCTTAAGTAGTTTTGCTCAAGAGAAACTACCAGTCAAGTTACCAGTCACCTTCCCAAATTTCAAGCGTTCTGTTGAATTAGCAGAAGTGAAGTAACTGATTTCTAAATTTTTAGCTAGGTTTTAACTGATGGTAATAGTTTGTTTGTTGCTTTATTTTTGAGATTGGATTTCTTGATCATCCCAAGATAATAATTTGCATTGTGCAACAAAAATTTCCATTTTCATTGCATGTATAGTAGTATACCAGTGTTCCTTGTAGAGCTTGTAACCAGGCATAGAGAAGGCTCTGAAGGGAATGAAGAAAGAGTAAGAAGGGGCAGCTACCCTAATCTTGACTACAAAGTCACCAATTTGAGAAATTTTATGTACTCAACAAAATATTTTCTCAATGATGTCAGACTTCATGGCATTCATACTCACTGCCTTTTTTATATTCAAAATAGAGTTCATTTGTTATCTAGTAATTTTAGAAATGTCAACCATTAGATTAATTGGTAAATTGGTAAATATCAAATGCCTATTCATATGAGACAAGTCTTTTGTGTAGTGCTTCCTTGCTTAAAACTGATTACAAGTCAAAGAAGCCCTGTTCAAGCCAAAAAATATAACAAACTATTATACAACTAATGTTCAGGTTTGAATGTATGCTTACTTTTTGCATTTAAGAAACTGATTTAAAAATAACTTTACTGTACCTTATGTATTTATGCTTATGATTAAATTATAATTGAATCACTTGACTAACAAGATTACAATTGTGAGTTGCAGGTTTTAGGAATACAGGTTAGATAGTTTTAGGAATACAGGTTGTTTAATTCAGTAAAAATGTGAGGAGCAATATACTTATAATACACAAATTTAAATATTTACATAGGAAGAATAATAAAATTAAGAGCTAAATGAATTGGGGTTTTAATGAATTGCTTTAAAATATTATAATAAAATCAAAATGACTACATTTGTGGGAGTTTACATTCTCTAGTTATTTATTCATTTGCTATAGCTTCCCAACAGTACTTAAGGGACTCTGCCAACTCAGCCCAATTGTTAAGTTCTGGGGACTGAGGAGGAGGTGCTGCTTGGATCCTGTGGCACTGGGGGGGACCTGGGCCACCCAAGCAGTGTCGCAGGGGCCCATATGGTGCAGGGGTCAAGCAGGGTCCTCTGCATGCAGTCTGTGCCCCTTATTCCTCTGCTGTCTCCCTGGCCCCAGAACCTAAATTTAATAGCTTGCTGATACCAATTTAAATAGTACTGGGCCAACCCCTGAAAAGTTTGAAAGAAGCCAGTCTTGTGTATGACTCGTCCCCTTTTTGATACCTGTTTTGCATGGCCTTTATGTTTCTCACTCGGGTCATTTCCTTCAGTTAGTCTTCTCCTTGGCCGAGGGTCATGTAGCCCTCAGGTCTGGACCAAGACCTGGCGCTCGCTCTCCTGCCCCAGTCCACGTGTCTGTTCTTCCTTCTTCCCGTGGGCACAGCTCTAGGTGCTGTTCTCTTAGAATGAGAACTGTGCGTTTTTCACTCTCAATATTTGACAACTTAGACGTCTTTTCTTCATAACCTTCACTAGTGTGTACTGTCGTAAAAATTTATAATGGTACAATTTTCCTAACTTGAGGGAAATATTCAAGTGTTCTTAAACATGACAGCTATTCTTACCTTTCTGAAATACAGAGGTATTTCGGTGATGCTAAATCATGCATGGATTTACTGTTTACTGTATCATCGTCTCAGGGTGATATAAGAAATGCATTTGAGAAACAAACTTTAGGGGCCAGGGGTAGTTGGTTAGTATACACCGCAAACCAGCTCCATTTTCAGCACCACAATGGTCCTTCAAGCAAGTAGCCCTGAACACCACTGGGGTGGCCCAGGCAGCACTGCATTCTCTAGTCCTTGGGTTGAACTGGGGGCTCTGGTCAGTCGAGAATTACTGGCAGGATCCCGGGCCTCCTGAGCACCTCTTGAGGTTTTTATTGTACATCCTATTGGAATGATCGAGGGATAGTAGACGTTACATTGGAGTTCAGAATGTCTTACTCTCATTACTAATGCACACGCCAATAGAGTGTGACCGAGCAGATATTCCATAAATACATACAACGTAAATACATACAATTGAAGAGAGTCCTGTGAGGCTTGTTTTGTTAGTAGAAATTCATTTGAAAATTAAACCTTCCTGTGGCATTTAATTTTTAACAATCACATTATGTGGCACGTATCAACATGAGTCATGCCTGTAAAGGAAGTATAATCGATAGAAATCAAGTTCATTGCTATGTAATCATATCAGTTGATTGTTGCTCTTTAAAACTGGACCATTGGGTAGTGTTTTCCCAGCTGTCTTTTGTGGTATATGATAGATTTAAATAGAAGCATAGCATGGATGATGATAGATGTCTGTCCTGCCTATAAACATACTATTATGTTTTACATACTATAACATACTATTTTACTGATATCTATTGCTGAACTACATACACAATCATAGTCATGTGTCTCTCGAAGCTTCTATCAGTAAGTTACTGGTGAGGAAGTTATACCAATTATTCATGAATTTACGTTGTGCTTAAACCACTCAAAACTTTTTCACTGTTTTGGGGCCATGCCCAGTAGTGCTCATGGGTCACTCAGTGGATCATATCCGAGCTGGAGAATCCAGCCATGCAACACAAGAATGTACCTGTTGTACTATTTCACCAATCCCAAAAATGTTTAAAATTTTTTCAGTTTAGAATACTTGCCTATATATTTCTTATAGGGAAATTACTATTCTTCCTAACATCCTAACAAGATGTTTTACAGCATCTTCAATTCTGTTCTGTTTTACACTTTTGTGGAGCTGGGGTTCATATTCAAGTTTTGTACATGGAAGATATGGACTTTATACTGTATTTACTTCACATTTTGGAGTAGATATCTCACTTCTCCATTAATTTGGCATCTTATCAATAAGTCCCAAATAATTCTTGTTTAAATATTTCCTCATACCTTGTCTACCAAGAAGATAAAAATATTTCTGTATTAAATTTTATTAAACACCGTAATCTATTGAATCATGACTGAATGATAAGTTCATTCAATCTCTGTGGAAGTTTGAATAATTAGCCAGTTAACATACACATGGGCCTCTTTCTGATGGACTTGTTCTAAAATGTGGGGTGGCATCTTGTGTTTGAAGGAGAGGAAAGCAGCAAAGGAGATACAGGATGGATAACCTCTTACTTTCATTTTAAAGTTAAAGTCTTTAAGAGCTAAGATGAACTCAGGAAAGAAAATGTTGTCATAAAAAGCATGATGTCAGCCAGTATTTTGAAATCACTGTATCACTGTCATCCCGTTGTTCGTCAGTTTACTCGAATGGATGACAGTAATGTCTCTATTCGTCCCAACCCTGAGATTTTAGCAGCCTCTTCGTACTCATCTTTCCCAACGATTGGAGGCTCTTTCAGGGTCAGGGGATTGAGACCTTTTACAGTTACTGGTTTTGGCACATCGAATACGCTACAGGGAGCTTGCCAGGCTCTGCCCATGCAGGCGGGATACTCTTGGTAGCTTGCCGGGCTCTCTGAGAGACAGGCAGGCAGATAGGTAGATAGATAGATAGATAGATAGATAGATAGATAGATAGATAGATAGATATTTGTCTCTATGATTTGCTGCTTACTGTCTGAACTCCATCATTATGGAAAATGGGTAGGGAGTGTCTTATGATGTGTCCGGAAAGCAGCCTGGAGCGTGCTGGTAGTTGGGTAGTGGAGGTCGGCTGCCAGGGCTGGGTCCCTTGGGGCAGGGAGGACTCTCGACCACCCCTCTCTGGGTCTCCCCGAGTGAAAACAGCCTGGCACAGAGTCCACGCTGTATTTTGAAATACAGTGTATAATGTACTATAGAATAGTTTACAAATCTTACCTTAGCCTTTTAATTCAAAAGAATTAGTAACAACTTAGAAAGATGTATGACTCTCAAGGGTATTGTTTGCTTCATGTCTTATTCACTGACTTGCATAGTGAGAGAAGGACTTTGTAGATATTTTTTGAATGGCAAATCGATGAATATTTCTTTTCCAATCCTTTTCTCTTTTGGATAGGAGAGCAATAGAAGCACTTGAGAAGGACTTAGTGAATCTACTTAACAGAGCTCATTTTTGTTAAGGGTTTAAACATGAGCAAGAAGAAAATTGCTTTTTCTGAGGCTTGGAATGGTAGCACAGCGGGTATGGTGCTTGCCTTGTGGGGACCCAGATTTGGTCCCCAGCACCTCAGGTGGTCCCCCAAGCCCACCAGCAGTGATCCCTGAGCACAAAGCCAGAGTAAGCCTTAAGCGCAGCCAAGTGTGGCCCAAAATCAAAATTAAATTTACAAAGAAAAAGAAAAGAAAATTGATCTTTCTGTATAGTCAGACAAAGGTGCATCAAGTTCTAGATTCTGAGTTCTTCAGAAGAGCATGTTCTTTCGTTTCTCCACTGAGACTGACAGAGTTATTGCTGCAGCAACCCACTGCTGAGTTCAAGCTGCTCTTTCAACAAAACCAAAAATCTTTTAAGCATCATTTGCATATAAAAGACCTCTAAGACCTTAATCTGGTTTTGGGGACTATTGTTTTTCATTTTAAGCTGTTTGTTGCCACAGAGTCATGTTTGTGATTTTGTACCAACAAATAGAAGCCAAGTTGCTCATTAGTATATTATTTGAAAATTGCAGCTCATTGAACTCAGTGCTCACCAAATTTGACTACTACATCCAACTATTTTAGTACTAAATTCTATATTAAGTTTTATTGAATGCCCATAAACTTAAACAATTTGTGTTGCAGCTTGTGCTAAATAGAATAGTATGTAGCAATTTGTGAGTTAAGCAAGTGAAGACCCTTTCCGAAGTGGTGGGACATGAAATGAAATGCTATGACTGTAAATGTCTTCTGAGATTCCTTGATTCAAATGGTAATCCTGCTTTTTCCTGCTCCTTCCATAGCTTCCTGCAGATTTCACCAAACTGCACCTTACTGATAGTCTCCACCCACAGGTGACGCACGTTTCTTCCAGCCACTCAGGATGTAGCATCACCAGTGACTCTGGGAGCAGCAGTCTTTCAGACATCTACCAGGTAAGGAAGTGGGACCCTGTGGTTTGCTTCATCGTGGCATATTTCAAGGAGTTTTGTGATTCTTTATTGATGACTCTATGAAGTCTGCTTAAGTGTATATCATATAGACACATATATGTGGACAGCTACTGTTTATGTTCGCATAGACACATAGTTGACTGCATGTTTGTTTTAGGAAGAACGACTACTGGCTGATTGTATTTGCCTCTCCTTTGATCAAGTACCAAAATTTCAAGGAGAGGGGTTACAATGGAAACATTTCTCTTGATTTGCAATATTCCATTAAGTTGATTATACATGTATTAGGTTTGTCACTCAAGTACAGTTTTAGGAGAAAACTCTAAAATTGCCCTTTAATAATAAGTTTTTTGTATTAAAGTCGTGAATATGACAAAGGGAAGATATTGAGGTTGGATCATTGAATTTCCGTGTATTTTTAATATCTTAGATGTACTTAAGAGGCGGGGTGCTCCTCTGCCTGCGGGAGCACTTGAAAGACTTCAAGCTGCAGTTAGTTTTCAGTCATGTTAGAACAATTCAGAGTTCTCAATCTCCAGCATGCTGATGGTAGTTGGGAACAGACATCCCATCAAGATTTTTCTTTGTACTTATTCCCAGTCTACTCAAGGTACTAACCAAAAAAAGCCAAAAGTTCCCTAGAATCAAATAGATAACAATGAGCATCATTTCATTCATTCATTTCATCATCCTGTTATTCGTCGATTGCCTCGAGCAGGCCCCAGTAACGTCTCTTTCATCCTAGCCCTGAGATTATATTCACGGCTCTTTAGGAGAATGAGACCCATCATTGTTACTGGTATTTGGCATATTTGGTACGCCACGGGGAGTTTGCCAGACTCTGCCCTGTGCGCAGGCTACATTCGATAGCCTGCAAGTTTATCTTGCAAGTTTATCTTTATACTGTAAGGCGAACGCCCTACCCGCTGTGCTATCGCTCCAGGGCTGGAGCAATAGCACAGCGGTAGGTTGTTTGCCTTGCACGCAGCCAACATGGCCGACCCGAGTTCGATTCCTCCGCCCCTCTCGGAGAGCCCGGCAAGCTACCGAGAGTATCTCACCCACACGGCAGAGCCTGGCAAGCTCCCCGTGACGTATTCGATATGCCAAACACAGTAACAACAAAGTCTCCAATGGAGACGTTACTGGGCCCGCTCAGCAAATCGATGATCAACGGGAGGGCCTTTACTTTACTTTACTTTACTTCACTACAGTAAGCACCAAGAAATCAAAGATGTGGTTTCAGTCAGGACAGAAATTTTATTAAATGAGCATAATCCAACCACTGTGGCATAACAAGTGAAGTTAGAACTACAGAGCTTAGATTTTTGTTTGCCTTCCAGTTGTATTGCTTTCTTCTATTTTGACCCTTTCTTGCTTTCAAGTTCTTCACTTATTACCTTCTGAAAGTTGGGTCCTGCCTTTGTTTCCGCCCCCGCCCCCCCCAGCAAATTCTCTTATTTGGACTTTAATTGAAATGATTGTCACATTCTCTGTCGTTCTGCCTTTTGGAACAGCTTTGAGAAGGCAGGGATCTTGTCTTTTTTCCGTTTTCTCTTCCAGCCTAGCAGACTGCCAGGAAATCTCAGGCATTCAGTTAAAGATGTGTTATAAATATGATTGAAATACTAGAACAGGGATTATAAACTCAATATGAAGGAAAGTGAAGACAGGAAGCATGAGAGCTAGACACAGAACACACTAGAAACTTGAATACTAAAGATATGCTTGAGTTGAACAAAAATTACCTTGGAAGCAGATGGGACATTAGCTGAAAGAGTAGAAAGTGAGTGACAGGAAGTAGAACATCTAAATTAATGATAGGAGGCAATGCAATTTCCAGTCATGATAAGATGTGACATAATAAGATATCAGGTCAGTGGCTTAGTTGGACTGGAAATTCTTGTACAAAAATAGACAAATCAATATAAACAAGAATGCAAGTCAAATGAAACTCTTTTGCAAGGGTGTAATAGATAACACAGGAAGCCTCACAAATAAACAGGAAAGTGATATAATACAGTAAGTAGAATTTGGAGTAGGGAGTTATTTTGTAGTTTCAATTTACATTGTAATTAAGATTAATTCCAGATCAACTAAAGAGTTAGCAAGCTCTCAGTGGTATATTAAGTGGTCAAATGTTTAATAAATCTGAGGTAACTACAAGATAAATCTTATAAATATAAGATATATATAATAAATACAAGATAAAAGTATTGGAATGGCAGTCTGGAGTGATAGCATAGCAGGTAGGGCGTTTGCCTTGCATGCGACCAACCTGGGTTCAATTCCCAGATCCCATATGGTCTCCCCAACACTGCCAGGAGCAATTCCCAAGTGCAGAGCCAGGAGTAACTCCTGTGCATCGCCGGGTGTTACCCAAAAAGGAAAAAAAAAACAGTATTGGAACAAATACTTATAGTTTTAATATAATTTACTTCTGGCAAATTAAGTAATAATGCTCAGTAACACTATAACAATAAAGGACAAAAGTAGGTAATTTGTAGAAGAGAACATGCAAATGTATCTAGTATAAAATTATGAAGAGCATGAAATAATATAAAAATTTACTTCATGCAAGCCTTATACTTATTCCCAAATATATTTTATATTTTATACATAGCTGACTTATCTGCACTTAAAAATCTCATCATCAACTTTATCATTTAATGTAAGTGGAGCATAAACATACTGAAGTTTGAGGTGACATTTGAGTTAAATATGCATGTTTAAAATTCTGCACAAAATGTATTTATATCAAGAATACTTTTAGTGGATGCTGGGAGCTAGCACAAGGCTGGGGATAGTTTGAACTCAGAGCACTGCAGGGACCAGCAGCTTTGAGTTCGCAGACTCTAGCTTGGAACCACTTGGCCTAGGGAGTTGAGGCGCCTCTGGAGTGGCCCCCGGGACCCCTTGAGCATGCTCGGGTGTCCTGCTTCCCCCTCAGAAGACACTCTTCTTGAAAGAAGTTCCCTTAAACACAGGGGGATATGTGTGGGGTTCTAGAAAAAAACTTTTGTGGATGATTTTGTTAAATTAACCCAATATGAGTTTCAGGGCATTTACTATTTCCTCTGTAGTTTTTTTTTTACATTCTTTTAAAATGTAAAATGTAAAATAAAATGATTTTAGGAACCATATTTATAACTCCAGAATATGTATAGTCATTTTTGATTGAAATAATTCATTGGAGCTTTCAGCGCGGATCAAAGAATATTTCTTGAGACTATTGTTTGACTATTACTATTTCTTGAGAATTATCTATATAATAAGACTTAATTTTTTGACCATTAATATACATAAAAAGGTATGGGAATTATTTATGTGAAAGATAATTGTTAAATTGAAAAATGTTTTCTTATTGATTTTAAGATGAATATTATCACTTTTATTTATTTTTTAAGTTTGGGGCCATATCCGTTAGTACTCAGGGCTTACTCCTAGCTCTGTGCTCAGGGAACACTCCTGGCAGTCTCAGGGGACCATATGGGGTGCCAGGGATTAAAACCAGGCCAGTCAGTGCAAGCTGTACTGTTGGTCTGGTCCTCTTAATCAGGTAGCTTTTAATATAAAAATGTGTATACCTATTAGAATGAAGGCTTTTGAAGAAAAAACACTAAAAGTAGTACTGTAGTTTGGAGGAAGCTAGAAAATGACAAATGTCTATATTTATGTATTTTTATAAATACTTTTGATTTTATGACAGCAAAACAAAACTTTTAAAAAAAAATTTTTGCTTTTTGGGTCACACCTGGTGATGCACAGGGGTTACTCCTGGCTCTGCACTCAGTAATTACCCCTGGCAGTGCTCAGGGGACCATATGGGATTCTGGGAATCTAACCCGGGTTGGTCGTGTGTAAGGCAAATGCCCTACCCACTGTGCTATCGCTCCAGCCCCTAGAAAACATTTCATTCTGTGTGGACTGCTGTGCCTTAGGGAAGGGCTTTAGGTCATAACAGTTGGAATCATCACATTCCTGTGATACTTGGGGAACCATTTGGTGCCAGAGATGGAACCAGGGTTGGCTGCATATAAGGCAAGCACCCAGCCTCTGCACAATGGCTCTGACACACAATTTAGTGCTGTTTATTGAGATAAACGAACAAATGACTGAGTATGGGAGTCTTTGTTTCCCAGTCCTGCTTTTGAGTTGAACATGGGTATTAGGCATTGCTTTGTCTTGTTTATGTTGGGCAGCTTATTTAACATCCTAAAGTGCTTTCTCATCTGAAAAGCAAGGCTAAAATTCCTAGCATGTTGAATTGTTATATAGATCAATTATGTATTAAAAGCATCAAATATAGTATTGAGTAAACGTTGGACATTCAACAGAGTTCACTATTTTTAATTGGGGGCCGGGTGCTAGGCCACACCTACCTGTGCTTAGAGGTTCTCTGGTGGCACTCTGGGTGGAATGGCACTCTGGTGGCACTCTGGGTGCTGCGCTTTGAACCCGGTTGGCCAGTAGCAAGGCCAGTTCCTTACCTGCTCTACTGCCTCGGCGGCCCAAGGTTCACTATTTTTATAATGGATAAGGGGTGGGCTATATAAAAGAATATTGTTTTCTGGACAAATTCTGATATAAATTGCATGCAATGCTCATTGCCGAGAGGAGGAGCATTAAACTGTACAAGTCCTGAGCCCTTCTCTTGGCACCGCTCAAGCCCCCGGCATCTGGATCTCTCACTTGCAGAGTCCTGTTGGTGGAAGGCAGGGTACTTGATGGGTCAGAGCCTAAAGTTTGCCTCCCTACACGGGGGGCAAGGGGGGGAATGAGCTGAGCCCCGAATCTTACCCACCTTCTCTCTGCCACCTCTTTGGCCAAAGCTGAGAGGGATTTTCAACCCTTACTGGAGGAAGGGACTTTGATCTAGCATACAACTGACTTTCTTTACCATTATTGGATCAAAGCACAGTCATATGGGGTGTCCCATTTATTAATGATAAAATTGGTTTACAAAGATTAAGGAACTTTGCTAAAGTTACAGAAATGAGTGTTAGAGTTGAGAAATGAACTCCGATACCTGTGCTCATTCAGCAGATAGAAAATCAGTAATGCACAACTGCCAGACACTCCCTGTTTCATATGGAATCGATTTATTCGACTGTTTATAAATATATTCAACATTTACTTTTATAAATTTATTCAACTTTACTTACTCAACAATTCTTGATTATTTAAGGAACAGAATATACATAAGCAATGTTCCTTTACATAAATTGCATAGGGTTCTACTTTGGAGACAATTATCCAAGTAACATTGGAAACTTTTTGTTATATCTGAAACAGTTTAAGTGATGGTAATGATGCCCTTTGGGTAGTATCTTATTTTTCATCTTTTATGCCATATGTTTAATGTTGGAGAAAACCCTTACATAGTTGGACTTTTGTATTTCACTCTTCATAGGGGCCCTTCAGTGTAAGCAGACTATTTTAGAGTATACTTGAAAATGTAAGGTGATGGATAATAATCTTCAATGTTAAGACAAAACAAGGGTGAAGATGTAATCATAGCAAGCATTAGCAAATTGTCACATTTCTAGACTTCAGAAATAAGGTGATAATAACAATGCTGGCCTAGTTTTTCTGATCACAGCTTTGCATACTATATCACATTAAGTTCTACCTCAGTTTCATTCTATAATCTAGAGACAGTTCTGTGAGTTCGGAATTTAAATGAGGAGATGTGTTTCTGAGCTTGTCACAGTTGATTCTTTTGCCTTGGCTGCAGGGCAAAACCTCCCTCCCTCCAAAGCTGCCGCACTTCTGCTAATGATGGTTTCACTTGAACTGTAGTGTTTATTGAGGCCATTGTTCAAAGAGGTTTTATGAGCATTGGGTTTTCCATTTTATATTATTCTGCCCTCACTTGGAATGCTCTATTTATTTGTTTTGTTTAGTTTTTCTTAAAAATAAGACTGAGATAGACCAACAAAAAAAGATCAGTTTGAAATTGGTGTCTTTAGTGGCTGAGGAAATATTTACAAGTGCCGGAGTTAGTCACTGAAAACTTGGTGGTGGGGTTGACTTCGTTGAGGAGTAGGAAGAACATGCCACCTGTGGGCATGTGATCTAGTACGTTCTAAGTTTATAGTTATGAACATTGGTCATTGGGAGAATTCATCTGATAGTATCTTGTTTGCACGATTCGCAAGTTGTATTTGGGACCCATTTTCCATTAAAAACTAAAAGAGAAGAATAGCTCAGTTTTCTTGGCATTAATAAATCCACATCTCTTTTAGAGAAGATATTACTCATAATGAATTCTCACTCTTACATTCTTTTATTTGTTTTGTGGTTTGGGCCTGTACCTGAGGGACTGTGCTCAGGAGTGACCCCGGTGGTCCATGGGTACCATACTTGATTATGAGGATTTGAACTAGGGTCAGCAGGATGCAGTGCAAGTGCCTTACCCTTGTAGTATCTCTCCAGCCTCAAATTCTTAACTTTCAGACCATTCTCTTTGATAAATGGAGTGCAGCCACATAATTTTTCTTCATTTTTTATGGGGGGTGGCACATCCAACAGTACTCAGGGCTTAGTCTTTCCTCTGTGCTCAGGAATCACTCCTTGATTGATTGAACCTGGGGGATTGAACTTGGGCCAAGTGTGTGCAGTGCAAGTCTTATATCACTTTGGCTTCTATTCTTCCTTTTAAAAAAACAACTTAGGGGTCCTCCCAGTAGGTTGGTTGTGCTAAGGATTCTATGGGCCACCCTAATAGGGCTTGGGGGCCACCAGGGTTTCACCTGGCAGTGCTCAGGGGCCCATATGATGCAGGGTCAGAATATGCACGACTTTAGCATAACTTTTAAACATATTCTTAACTGTGATCTCTGTGGCTCCCAAGTATTATTCTGTATTCTCCTGGTTTCAAATGCCATAGGATACCACAGATAGCAAACCAAAATTATTTAGATAAAATTGTGGCTCTTGACTTATCATTTAATAAGTGATAAAATCACATTTTATTGATGTTGTTTTGTTGTGGTAGTGCCTGAAGGCATAAATGTTCACCACGTAATATGATAAATCAGATTTTTAATGTTATAGCCTAATATTTGTTGTCTTTGTCTTTTGAGTAAAAACAATTTACTTGAAATACTTAAATATTTTGGTTTGTTTTAAGGCCACAGAAAGTGAGGCTGGTGATATGGACTTGAGTGGTCTGCCAGAAACAGCCGTGGATTCTGAGGATGACGATGATGAAGAAGACATTGAGAGGGCATCGGACCCTCTGATGAGCAGAGACATTGTGAGAGATTGCCTGGAAAAGGACCCAATTGACAGGACGGATGATGACATAGGTAAGTCTCTATCAGACAGTTAATCTCAGAATCATAATGTTGGGATAGACATATAACTAATGCTCTTGTATAGGAGGAACAAAACGTTAATAAGTCATTAACTTACACATTTCTCTTGTAAATGCTTGACATTTGGCTGAGTGAAATATTTGAACAAAATATTAGTCTTAATCAGTACCTTCAACCATGTACAAATAATTAAACTTCCTAGTAAAAAACCCTTTGCATAAGCCATTCTTAGTTTATTATCTCAAAAGATTTTAGAAGTCTTGCAAACAATATTTTTGTAGAATTTGTTTTATGCATTTAAATGTCCAGTGATGTTGGTAAAAATGACAGCATCAGTGACTCTGCTCTATGCTGCTTTTATGTGAAGATGAGACTTGAGTAGAAGATGAATTACCCTCAACTAACTACCACTTTAAAGGCTAAGAATGGCAGGAAGTTGAGGCATTCTTTACTTCCATCCTGATGTTAAAAACCTAATTGGCTTTATATTTGCTTTCCCCTTCTCTGAGTTCCCTTTACCAATCTTTCTTCTAGGAGCAGTTCACTGTATCTTAATGCTGTGTGCTTTCCAGTTTGGCTCCTTCCTTAGTACTAAGAGTGAGAGCAACTTCTTTTGTCATTCAGTTCCTCCAACTGTTTTTCTACTTAATATTACTTAGGTTTTTGAAGAGACGTTCAAAGAAATGGATCTAATGGAACTGGACATAACATTATAGGGGCATAAGTACACATGCGAGACTTATTGCATGTATTTTGAGGGAGAAAAAAAACTAGGGGGTTATGAGGGTAAGGGACATACTTCATAGTCATCTGATTTCCTGTGCATTCTCCTCTTCTCTTTTTCCCTTCCTGACTTAAGAATGAAATCTTTTTTCTTTATTAGTGAATCACCATGAGTTACAGTTACAGATTTACATATTTTCGTGCTTGTGTTTCAGTCATACACTGCTCGAGTACCCATCTCTCCATCAGTGCCCATTCTCCACCACCAACGATCCCAGCGTCCCTTTAATAATAAAATCTTCAGAGAAACTGAAATTGGGAGTGTGTTCACTTTGCTGTCTTAATCCAACATTATTCTTGTAGATTTTAAGTTAGATTGAACACTGGTCTGTCAATCTATCTATATCTTCTGTCTATCTCTGTCTCTACAAAAAAATTAAAGCATTCTAGTAGATATTTAAAATAGAAAGCATTTATGGGAATTGTTAACAGTAGGTAAATAGCGCCAGACAATGGCCTTCCATTCCATTAACTAATAGGATTGAGCACATTCTTTGTTCTGAGCATTACTCTAGGTTCCTTGCAGCTGAGAGGGTGACCAAGACTAATGAAACCTTTGCACTATGCTAAAGCAATCTGAAAAATAATTCGGAAACTAGGGGGTGGTGAGGGAAAGAGAATGGATTAACTGTTTTTAAGAACTGACAGTGTTCTTAGAAAGGGCTCAGCCTGACTATGCATCTGATTCTTGATACAGAAATTCATTTTGCATTAACTATTTTGGGATATTTAACTTGGATTTCTGTTGGAGTGAGGTGATTAACTGCCTCCCAAATATCCATCCTGACTGCTCGTTATTTTAGCCCCTTCCTTTTTTTCCATTTCCATTCTGTATGCAAAGATGGGTGGTATTTCTCAAGTCTTGTGAAATTGAAGGGCTTCTCTCTGTATCAAGAGATACAGGGTTTTGCTTTCTGGGTTCACATACCTCATAGTCATCTGATTTCCTGTTCATTCTCAGTCTCTTCTCTTTTTTCCTTCCTGACTTAAGAATAAAATATCCTTATACTAGTTTTAAAGAGAAACTGAAATTGGGAGTATGTTCACTTTGCATCTTAATCCAACATTCTTCTGATAGATTTTAAATTAGATTGAATACTGGTTATGAAGAGATTGATGTGGAAGTTGTTTTCTATATGTGTGTTTATCCTTTTTATGAATCTGCTTTATAATAGTTACAGAAGAAAATGGTGATTATTAAAATACAAATAGGAAGTCTGTCCATCCCGGAAATTTAAGATTTTTCTGTGGGAGCCATCTACCCCAGAGCTGCTGGAAAATGGGAGCTATATTGATTTCTACAAATGAACACAGCACTTTTTAAAAATGTGCTTGTTAAATACAATCTATAGAGAATAATATTCATAGTATTTCTCTTTGAATACCAGTTCTTCTGCAGCAGATGACGATTCTGATACTGGCTCTCATCACATACTTATGTTTCGAGCAATAAATCATTATCATTAATGATAAGGTCTAGTGATTGGTTTATGCAAGATTTTATATTCTGTCTCCTCAAAGTAAGACCACATCTGAGAACTCTTTAGTTTTTTTTGTTCTTTTTTATTCTGGTTCAATCTGACTCATTCTTCAGTATTTAGTTAAAACAGATTACCTTTCATCTGAACTATAAATACCTGTGTGATTGATGCTTTCTTTAAATGTGTCTTTTCTCACCCAGCTTCTTTCACACCCACAAGATAGGGAAGGGGATAGTGTATGTGTGTGTGTGTTTGTGTGGGTGTGCACACGCATCACACTCACACTTGTGTTAATATCTGATCATATTTTTTTTAATTGAAGGAGGAAAAATTCCCTTTGGGTTGTCATTGAATTTTGTGTATCTCTGCAATATTCTGAAGGGAAAATTTGATTTATTCTTCTTTGCAATTCATAAGATTTGACGGGTACTCAATTATTGGGTTATAAATTTAATTTTACTTTTAGATCTTGAGACATTAAGGTAGAGAACTCCTTTGATCATTTTCAAATAACTTTCTTAACCCCCTCCTAATTTCCCACACAAACCCCACATATATTTTTTAAATGTCACTAATCATTCCTTACATAAAGTTAGAGAGACTAAGATAAACTAGCTTTATTAATTGGCTTTAGTTTTTCTTATCTGTAAGTTGATCCGGACTTTGTTTCACCTGGACAAGAAAAGAAAAGTTTCTATAATATTTAACATTTCCCACGAAAGGAATATTTCTTACTTCGCAGATAGGTTACAGTTCGCAAACTTGTCCCCTGATAGATTCTTCTGAGATCTGTACGATGACATCTGGCTTCTGTGCCTGCCTTCCCACTGTCTGAGGAGGTATTCTTACCAAGCTCTGCACTCAAGGCAACCAGACGCCCTTCGACTCTCTGAATTCCCTATGGCAGTATCAGAATTTATTTGAGCCCTTATTGCCAAAGCTTATAGTGCACATTTACTTTTTAAAAGAATGGCAGTATAAAAATTCTTGATTTTTTTTCTTGCTATAGTCCTTTAGTGTCTTAAGTGGCAGAATAGAAGATACCACAAACCAGGGACAGCACTACTGAATCATTGAGATTCTTATAAAACTCTTGAGATCCCATCTGGTTAAGCAAAACATCTATTTATATATGTTACTGTAATTTTGCTTTCCTTTTTTTTTATTCAGGTATTTTCTGTCTTGTTACATTTTAAAAAATTAGTTTGTACTTATTCCCCCTCCTTCCACGGTTGTTTATTGTGATGACCAGAGAAGCTACAGTGCCTACACACACGTGGCTGCAGCACCCGGATACGGGCCCCAGCACCAGAGTCACACCAATGTCACACTCAGGCATGTGGAGTAGTGCTGGGGATCGAACTCACATAGCGTGCACGGCAACCAATTTGCCAGAGTCACCCCAACCCCACCTGTTAAATGTGTTTCAAATGCTTATTACATTCATATACTAGAAATTGATTTTTGTGACTCACTGTCGGGATAAGAATCTGCCAAAAAGCAATAAAAATGTCCGTGTTAGGAACTTCAGATCACTGTAGCAAATATTGTGGTTATATTTTACACTTAATATTCTCCAGTTCTATATGTGGTCATTATTTAAAATCTGTTTTTAAGTTCTTTTACATTTAAAACATTACTAGTAATTAAATTCTGGTCTTATATATCTTTGATTGTTGGATTCAGTCACTACTAAGGGAAAAAGTAGAGTAAAATGTGTTGGATAGGTAAAATTGTAATATATTATGTTAATGGCAGATGACCACGACTTGTTTATATATCTTTATGTCTGAAATCAAAAGGTGATGCATTTGGAAACATTGATTCCTACATCCCACATGTAATAGGTATGGGTGATCTCTTGCAGTGATATTTATGATGCCTTTTGCTATGCCTGGGAATAAATTAACTTTGTAACACAACACAAACACACCTACGCATACCAGAAATTAAATCACTAAACTGAATGTATTTCCTAAGTGATGAGCTTTGATATGGTTTTGTTTTGTTTTTAAAGAATATTAGTTGTCACACATCACCTCAAAAGAAATTGAGAATGAGCCATAGAAGTGACTCGGATAAAATGTATACCTTGCAGATCGAGACTTGGCATTCTCCCCACCCCCCCCCCAAAGAAAATATGGAAAATAAAAATTTTACTTAAATATATTTTCAGTACAATCCTGCCATGAAATCCCCCCAAATCCTTCCTGCTTGTGTTAAATGGACTAAAAACCTTGTATCATTTCCGTCTTTTCAATAAATGTCCAAATTCTTTAAAAAATTAAAAGATAAATTTAAAAAATAAGAAGAATGCTAGTTGTCACAGTAAATTGATTTCCTGACACATGTCTGGGCCAGGTCAAAGAACATTGTCCTGTTGGACAGAGTCCCTAGCTCCTGCTTATCAGAGTTCTCCTCCTAATTACCAAAACCATCACCACTCGGGTCTAATGAGAGCAGACGTGAACCAACTGGATGCAGAAGTCTAACCTGTCTGACCTGGAAATCTTGTGTTTTCACAGAATATATTTTTCTATTCTATGTTGATTTCAGAACCAGCTATACCCACACTACATGTAATCTGACACTAAATCCTAACAGATGGAATGAATTTGTGTAGGAAAAGTTTCTTTATTTGAGGGCAAGAAAACGGCAGCGTTTTTATTTAACTCAAAATTTGAATATCATGAATATGGTATAGCAGTTTTCACTTATTGGCTATTTAACGTGTTCTAAAGACTTTATAATCTTTACTGCATTTGATCATCACAGCTGTGCTATAAAAGGATTTTTTTGTTGCTGTGGGGAGGCATTATTGGGGGATTTTGGTGTTTTGTTTTAGTTCGGTTTGGGGTCACATCTGGCTGTGCTCAGGCCTTTGTCCTGGCTCTGTACTCAGGGACCACCCCTGGTGTACTTGGGGATGCTTCAGCCATATGCAAAGCAAGTGCCCTACCTGCTGTCCTACCTCTCTGGCCTCAGTATTATCTTTTTACAAATGAGAAAAGCAGGCCTCAAGGAAATCAGTCAACTTTCCCAAATTAATGTAATGGGCCATTATTTGGATTCAAGTATTCCCATGTCTGACACACACCCTGTGCTCCTTACCCCTCTTTCTCTAATGTTCACTATGAACTCTGGAGGCCGACAATAGTCCAGAATGGTCACTGCCATAAAAATACTGCATTAATACCATCATCAAATTATATGCCTTTGAACCTCATTTTATAAAATGAGAAAAAAAAATACTTCATTGAGCCTTATAAGGAGTAAGGAATTTACTAGTAAAGGTCACAAACAGTAGGACAAAATTAAAAGTTTTAGACTGCGAGACATAAAAAGACTGAAAAGTCTTCTATTTTGCTAATAGAACTTATATGCCAAAGTTTTCTTCCAACTGCACTGGCAACAGGATCAAACTTTTTTATGGCAACATGCAAGATAGGATGTGATATGTCAATTTACATTTGTGTTTTTCATATAGTGCTACCTTATTTTAATTCCTTATTTGTTCTATATTTTTTAGATTTGTCTGATCTATAGAAAATATCTCTTGGTTTCTAAATCCAGGGATATCCTTAGATTGAGCGCATCTATTTCTGCTCTTTATGGGCCATCGTTTTCCTATAAGGGACCGCAGGGGACTGCTAAGTCTGGAGAATGCTCAGGCTTCCTTGTTTTTATTTCAGCTTATTATGTCATCCCTTACTAAGTCTAAGTAAGATCACAGCTCATTTTCAATAGACATTAAATTCCCCACCAAAAGTTACTCGGTTTCTCAGCTATTCGAGTTTTAATTACAATGTTCACTATTGTTTGGGAATCAGAGAGAAATTGTGACATTTCCGCAGTGGCCAACTTCTGTTTCTGCAAGAAATTCAACTTGTACTAAAGGTTCTTAAGGTTATTGTGTTTTGTTTTGTTTTTAACTTGGCAATGCTGTAGGACATTTATAAATAAACTTTTTTTTTACTTTTTGGGTCACACCCGGCGTTGTTCAGGGGTTACTCTTGGCTCTGCGCTTTGGTTCTGAAATAATTTCTGCAGAAATTATTGCCTGCAGTGCTCGGGGAACCATATGGGATGCTGAGGATTGAACCCAGGTCAGCCACCTGCAAGGCAAACACCCTGCCCACAATAGTATCACTCCGGCCCCTATAAATAAAATTTTGAGTACCACGATTTTTTATTTCAATGTCACCATTTGGAGGCCAGAGAGAGTTCAAAGGGCAGGAGGACAGAGTTCTAGCAAACCCTCCTGCCTCTCCCCATACCAGATTCCTCAGGTACTTGGTTGAGTGTCACTAGGTGTAACTCCTATGTACCCCAGCATGCTGGGGAAGTTTCCCCCACCAAAATTTATAGTTTTATTAATGAGCATTCTTTTGCTTTTCAGAACAACTGTTGGAGTTCATGCACCAGTTGCCTGCTTTTGCCAACATGACAATGTCGGTGAGACGGGAACTCTGTGCTGTGATGGTATTTGCTGTGGTCGAGAGAGCCGGCACCATAGTGTTAAATGATGGTGAAGAGGTTAGTATATACTCCTCCCACTAAAATGTTTCTGTCTGAAAATTTCTCATAGAACAACTGAGCAAAACCCCGAACTCAAATTTTTCTTTTGTACTATAATAGGCAAAAAGTTTGAACTATGTAAGAATTAAGATACGTAGGTTATATCAAAGTAGTCCAAACCCATTGTTTTGTTTTTCATCATTGACAATACTTCATACAATATAAAGAGCTATTTGATATGTAAACTTTTTTATTATTATTTTTTTGTTTTGTTTTGTTTTTTGGGTCACACCCAGTGATGCACAGGAGTTATTCCTGGTTCATGCACTCAGGAATCACTCCTGGCGGTGCTTGGGGGACCATATGTGGTGCTGGGAATCGAACCTGGGTCGGCCGCGTGCAATGCTAACGCCCTACCAGCTGTGCTGTTGCTCCAGCCCCAGATATGTAAACTTTTAAGATTTTCTAACTTAGATGTCAGAAAGCATCTCGTTCGAACAGAATGACAGTCTTATTAGGCAGTGTTTGCAGGTGTTTTGTAGGACTGGAGAAGGGATATTTTTTCTTTGTGTCACTTTAGAAAAGAATCAGAAGTCAGAAGATGTGTACCCTTTGCAGAATATGAAAATAAGTAGCTCTTCATTCCTTGTTCTGTAAACTTAGGGAACACTTCTTTATCCCATCTTTAAAATGGAATCGCAAGTCACAGAAGATCTGCTAAGTTGTTTGTTTGGCCCATTCTAGCATTTACTGAGCATAATGCTGTTTTTTTCACTGTCTTTATGTTTTTTTAACTAGCTGGATTCCTGGTCAGTGATTCTGAATGGTTCGGTGGAAGTGACTTATCCAGATGGAAAAGCAGAAATATTATGTATGGGAAATAGTTTTGGTGTCTCTCCTACCATGGACAAAGAGTACATGAAAGGAGTAATGAGAACCAAGGTGGATGATTGCCAGGTATAAGCTATCATTGAATATGTGTGTATATTCTTAATAAGAACTGTGAACCACAATACCCAAAAGGAGAGAGTGAGAGCAAAAGGGAATGCCCTGGCACAGAGGTGGGGTGGGGTGGGGGGCACGGGGGTGGGAGGGTGGGAGGCATGCTGGGACCATTGGTGGTAGAAAATGGGCACTGGTGGAGGGATGGGTACTCGATCATTATATGACTGAAAGGCAAGCACGAAAGTTTGTAAGTCTGTAACTGTACCTCACGGTGATTCACTAAAAAAAATTAAAAAAAAATAAAAAGAAAAGTTACTTATTCAAAAAAACTATTAAATTATCATTCCTAAAAAAAAAGAATGCTTAAATATGGAGCTCTGGTAAGGTTTTTTTGTCTGTATACATAGATCATTCTTTAAATTTATAAGTAAAGGCTGAAGAGATAGTAGCAGAGTTAAGACACATGTCTTGCATGTAGCCAACCCCAGTTTGATCCCTGATACATGTCCCTGATCATCCCAAGGTTCAGCCCTAAAAGTCAGTGAGGAGCTGTGGGAGTACAGGGATATTAGCATCTCTGACATGCATCCCAGTGGCCAGCCCTGGGTTCGATCCCTGGCACATAGGGGAGACCCCAAGCACCACCAGGAATGATCCCTGAGCACAGAACCAGGAGTAAGTGGTGAGCACTGCTGGGCCTGGCCTCATAATAAACAACATTATTGTTGGTACACTTCATTTAACTCAGGGATCTATTTCTTTTTTAGGTAATAAGAAAATACTATAATTATATTTTCTAGAACCGATTATAAGAAAGAACACCTGAAATTACTGTGCCGGGAAAATGGCATTCCCAAGTCGTGGGCAAGGGTTGGGGTCCTCTTCCTGTTTGCCAGGGGACCCCAGCCCCTGGCACTGATTCTGAGGGAGGCCCTGTGGGTGTGGTTCCAGTAACCAACAGTGCCATTTGGAGGTGTTGGGGGGCCGCTAAGTCTCAGGAGGCCTTGGTAGCAGGGATTGGTCCCAGACAGGTGTGTGCTCAGTGTGTGGATGAATTGCTCTGCTATTTCCCGGCCCTGAATTAGAACTTTCTGTTCATAAGTTCATAACAGTAAAATCAGTTCATTCAAGTCAGATCAGGGAGAGGCATTCAGCATCACCTAGACCTCGTTTCTTGTGTGAACTGCTGTTGCTATTACTTAAAAAAAAATGCTTTAACTATGAAAAATACATTTAATAAAATTAAAGTTACTTAAAGTTTTCACTCCTGAGAGATGATTATTAACGTTCTGTCATATTTCTCTCCAAGATTTTGTTACACACGTGTGATTTTTTTAATTGACAGACATGTAATTATGAAACATTAGGCAAATTATCATATTGTTGGTATAGCCATTTTCTCATTGTACGGTGAGGATAATAGCAGTGCCGTCCTTGACATCAAGAAAATTTCTGTAAGGCTACCAATATATGATAACAGTGATGATGTCAACCTGGCTATAATTATTATAGCCTTTGGTTTTATATCTTAATTTTTTAAATGTAGTGTTAGAGCCATTAAGCCAGAATTCTAAATGAAAAATTTTGAAACACTGTATTATATTTTCTCTTCTATATACTAATTTAATCATTCACGTTTCCTGTCTTTTTCACATTAGAGGAGAAAGGAAACGTGCATGCTTTCTTCATTCCAAATGGACTTCTCAAAAAGAATAAATTATTTAAAATTCAGAGAGGACAGTGATTTTTATTTGAGACTACTCTTATCTCACTGTTCTTATCAATTTCTCTACTAAGTGACTAATAGTAAGGGTAATTAAGTGATCAACCTTAAGCCCTAAAAATGTTTCATAATTGGAGTCATGGAGGAATAATTGGTCAGTCTACTTGTTATTGTTAAGTTTTTAAAAATAAGGCTATCCCTTGATATCAGTTATTAAGGAACTACTTAAGCTTAATACTTACAAAATAGCTTATTTTGTAGACTTTTTGGGAAAACTTTTTAAAGTGATTTCTTATTAATGTAATTAGAAAGTTTATGTTTGCTCCATGGACAATTTTGAATTTTGGTATCTTCTGTTAACATAACATTTTTTAAAATGTCACGCTCACATTTTTAAAATATTAAGGGAATGTTGTGTTTATCTCTTTCCTACTTGGGAGTCAACTCCCCAACATATTTTAATTGTCAGAAGAAGAGGCATGGAAAATAGCTTGTAATTTTATCTTCCAATTTGAAACTTAAAATTTTTAATATAAACTACATAGAGCTTTGAGATGAAACTTTTCCAGATAGGACAAGAATGAAAAAGTTCAGTGAGGTATAAAAATGTCAGTGTTAAATAATTTAAGACTGAATTATTAGAACTACCTGTTCTTTTGAAAGCACTTTATCATTAGCATGTGACAAAATCATTAGTTTTTTTTTTCCTAGTTTGTCTGCATAGCCCAGCAAGATTATTGCCGTATTCTCAATCAAGTAGAAAAGAACATGCAAAAGGTTGAAGAAGAAGGAGAAATTGTTATGGTGAAAGAACATCGAGAACTTGATAGAACTGGAACAAGAAAGGGACATATTGTCATTAAGGTAGGACAAATGACCAATATACTTTCTTCCTATGGACGTCAAAGTGTCAGAGAGGTGTTATTCTGGAGAATAGTGATCACACCTTCTGCGTTTGTTTCAGGGCACCTCAGAGAGATTAACAATGCATTTGGTGGAGGAGCATTCAGTGGTGGATCCAACCTTCATAGAAGACTTCCTTTTGACCTACCGAACTTTTCTTTCCAGCCCAATGGAAGTGGGCAAAAAGTTATTGGAGTGGTTTAATGACCCGAGCCTCAGGGATAAGGTTAGAAATTCTACTGTAGTTTGGCTTTTAAGTATGAATTATTAGCCTGTAAATTTTAAAAGTTCTTTATAAACAGAAATAGTTGTCACTTTTATTTAATAGAATTTAAAAAGGGATGGCACTTTTTAAGCAAGAAGCGATGCAAGTATTACTGTTATTGATGCCTAAATTCAGCCCTTGAAATACCGTTTTCTCCTTATGTAAAGCAAATTAGTTAGCTAAAAATATATAAACTCTATACACAACACCCAAGTATCTAAGTATCGTCATTCTGCAGTTTCATAGATGGTCATTGTATGCCAGGTAAAAAGTTTGAATTTTTAAATAGGTACCAGAGCAACGTTTCATTATATAATTGCTGGCTTATAATCACCAGTAATCTAATTCTAAACAGCTTTCCTCACCCTCCCCCTTTTTTAGCAACTCCTGGGAGGGCCAGATTGGATGATAAATAACACGTTATTATGAGGTTTGAGAGAGATAATGATAGTCTAATTCTTTTCAATGTGAGTCATTGATGTACATAAGATAGACTTGGGAGAAAGGGTAGGAGAATCTGTACAGAGATGGAGAGAAAAGCTTCAAGCTCTTGTGCTGGTCCTACCATATAGTAGTTTTGTGACTTGGACTCTCATGCTTTTCTTCTAAGCATCTCAAGCCCAGATCTCAGCTAAACTCCTTAGGCTAAAAACTTGGCTTGAGTACCTAATGTGCCATCTGATCTTTTGGACTTGGTGTGTTCCTCCTCATTTCCTTTTCAAACTCTCTAGGGTATTTTAAGCATTAGAAGTCAAGTTCTTTCGTAGTGCCTAGCTCATAAAAATCACTTAATACATACTGAAAGTTATTTTTGTTTCTGTGAGTTGGTAGTACTTAATTTGTGATGTACGGATTTTTTTCCTCTCTAGTTTGTATTATGGCTAGTAGAGTTTTAAGTTAGCTTTTCAGTTGCAAATGTTTTATTTTTGTAAAGGTCGGGTATTCAATAATAACTTCCAGAAAGATGAACTGAATTTCGTAAAATTTAAATATAGGCAGCCTTAATAATGATTTTTTAAAGTCTATTATAAATACTAATTGTATGTTAAAATTTGTGTAATTGGGACTGGAGCGATAGAACACTGGGTAGGGCATTTGACTCGCAAGCGGCTCACCCAGGTTCGATTCCCAACATCCCATATGGTCCCCTGAGCACCGCCAGGGATAATTTTTGAGTGCAGAGCCAGGAGTGTGCAGGTAATTTCTGAGTGCAGAGCCAGGAGCCTGAGCATCTCTGGGTGTGACCCAAAAGAAAAACAAATAATACAATTTGTGAAATTGTCTACCTTTGTCTTTACTGCTAGATTAACATGCTTAATTTTCTGACTTGGAGAGATTAGTATTTGAAAATAACTTTATTATTGAGTTTAGAAAAATAAACCTATGTAAAATAAAAGAAGTAGTTCTAAAGTTGTAATTGTATACGTTTTTCATTGAGTAAAGTTTTGAAAATGTATCCTTGACATTGATAAAAGTATTAAGACTACTGTTAGAATGTAACAATGAAGTTGTCTTCATGGAGCATTGTCTAATAAAGTTCTACAGTTTTTGCTGGCACAAAACAAGTATTTTGTATAAGGTGGAGGACTTTGTGCAGAACAGGAAAATTATGCTCAGTTTTCCTGAAAACTATACAAAACTAGTGTTAGCAAAAAATGTTTAATTCCAACTCCAAGCTAACGCCTTCTTTTACAGTGTATTCTCTTGCATATCTAAGCTTAACACTATTCATTCCTATCTCTACATTTGCTTTTATTTTTTAGCTTCTGATTTTTGTCTTATCTATTTTTGTGATCTGTTTCAAGTACATTTTGAAAGTACGCATAGTGCATTTTAATTCAGGTGACTTTCTTATGAATAAAATTCTTGCTGAGGGATTTTGTTAATTTTCTTACTCACCATTCTGATACTCTCTTTGAAATAACTTGAATACTAAAAAGAAAAGTTATTAAAACTAATTTTTTTCCAGGTTACACGGGTAGTACTACTGTGGGTGAATAATCACTTCAATGACTTCGAAGGAGATCCTGCAATGACTCGATTTCTAGAAGAATTTGAAAATAATCTGGAAAGAGAGGTAATATTCACAAATTTTTTTTTTTTTTGCTTTTTGGGTCACACCTGGCAATGGCACAGGGGTTACTCCTGGCTCTGCTCTCAGAAATTACTCCTGGCAGTGCTCAGGGGACCAATATGAGATGCTGGGAATCGAACTTGGGTCAGCTGCGTGCAAGGCAAATGCCCTACCTGCTGTGCTATCACTCCAGCCCCACAGTTTTTTGTTTTTTTTTAAATCATCTTTATGTGCAGCTTGTTCATTAAATTGATACCCTGATCTTTTAACTCTTACAGAAAATGGGTGGACATCTAAGACTATTGAATATTGCGTGTGCCGCTAAAGCAAAAAGAAGACTGATGACATTAACAAAACCATCTCGAGAAGCTCCTTTGCCTTTTATCTTACTTGGAGGCTCAGAGAAGGGATTTGGGATCTTTGTGGACAGCGTAGATTCAGGTAGCAAAGCAACAGAAGCAGGATTGAAACGCGGGGATCAGGTATGACAGAGACTTCTAACACTGAACCTCAGGGTTCAGACCGCTGTCTTTGTTTTTCTTCAGAAAGTTGGTATGCACAAATTAATTTTATAATTTTATTTTCAGATACTAGAAGTAAATGGTCAAAACTTTGAAAATATTCAGCTGTCTAAAGCCATGGAAATCCTTAGAAATAACACACATTTATCTATCACTGTGAAAACCAATTTATTTGGTAAGTCATTTTGGTATACTCTCACTTTTCTTCTTATCTCTTTTTTATGATGGAACACGATTGTGAAGGTCATTTTATCAGTATTTTAAGCATAAGAATAAAATATGACAAAGTTTATAGACATAACTATGTAACTAAAAGTAAAAGCTACTGATTTAAACATTCAAGAGCTTTTGTTGTTGTCTGGGGACCATCTTGGTGATGCTCAGGGAAAAACCTGGCGTGATGCTGAGATTCTTCGCTCTGGAAGTATTTAGGTGACCTCACAGTGTGGGAAGCAGTTTGAGGCCCTGCAAGCCTGCTAGCCCATTGATCTAAATATTTGTATTTAGAAATTTTTATTTTTATTTAAATACTTTTATTTTTATTTAGAATTTTTTTTCTACACCTGTACCTTAAAAGAGTGTGTTACTTGGTTGTACTGTATTGATGTCATTCATCCATCGGAGTAGTGTTATTTTACAAAATTAGAATCTTAGTAGCTAACGGTCTATAATGAACATCCATTTACTTGCACTCTAATTGCCTTTGAGTTGTTTCAATTTGCTATTTATTGTGTTCGTTTCCATTTTAGTATTTAAAGAACTTCTAACAAGATTGTCTGAAGAGAAAAGAAATGGTGCCCCTCACCTTCCTAAAATTGGAGACATCAAAAAGGCCAGTCGCTACTCTATTCCAGATCTAGCCGTGGATGTCGAACAGGTGATAGGACTTGAGAAAGTAAATAAAAAGAGTAAAGCCAACACTGTTGGAGGAAGGAACAAGTTAAAAAAGATCCTGGACAAGACTCGGATCAGTATCTTGCCCCAGAAACCATATAAGTGAGTGTTTAAATTTTCAGCACCGTATTTTGTTGTGTTAAAATGGTGGGCAAAGGGAGTCATCTAATGAGTACTTGTCATGAGAGTAAAACTATGTTTTTAATCATAATAGTAATGTTTCAGGCACACTATGTTCCACCACCTCTCCACAGTGTCAGCGCTCTGCCAAAGCCTCTAGATCTCCTTTCCCCAGGCCCTTAGCAAACTCACTCATAGGCTGACTTTCAGGGTTGTCATTGGCCAGTTTTTATCCCTTACTTTATTTATATCCAACATACGTGACGTCATTCTGAATTTGCCTCTCTGACCACTTCACTCCACATGGTAAACCTCTTAATTCCATCCACATATCAGGATGCTACAGGATTTCGTCTTAGGAGTAGGATTCCATTGTATGTGTAGAACACATTTCTGTTCACGCTCTATCTTTGACACTTAAGTTTTTTCCCAAACGTGGCTATTATGAATTGTGCAGCAGTGAACACAGGGAGTGTAAATTCTTGAATCTCTTGGTTGGTTATGCCAGGAGCCCAAACTAGACAGAAGTTGTAGGTGGTAGTTTACCTGTGTTTAATTTTGCTTTTCTGCTTAGTGGTTCATTTTGGTTCTTTTTCCGTCTAAAGATGTTTTATAAAAAATTATCATCAGCCAAAACATTTTAATTTTAATAACATACCTTAGTTGTATAAAATTCATGTGTAATATATTCTTCCAATTCTAATGATTTAAGAGATGACTTAAGAACGTTACTTTCTTTATACTTCAATAAATTTTCGAGGAGCAGTAGATACAGACATTTAAGACTATATCAGAAATATCTTTGTTAAATTGTATGTCAGGTAAAAATGTTGTATGCATGTTAAGTACAGTCTACTGTATCCTAATAATAGATTGTATGTCTAGTTGTGCTGTAAGAGACAATGGATTGGATCTACCGGCATTTTAGAAAATAAGAATTGGTTTATAAAATGATCCTTCTTGACGAAAACCTTTCAAATGAATTGAAAAAAAGACACCAAAAAAGTTATTAACATCTCAGAGCCACATGACCATGAGTTAAATAGGAACCATAGAATAGTTTAAAAGTCAGTATATCCCTGGAAAATATGAATAGAAATATGACATGTAAGGCCTGGGCTGTGATCCACCTACTGTGCTACAGGATGTTGGCGAGGCACACAGCATGAGACTGCTCAGTATAATTTTATTCTGTGTGTATTTTAAAAGATAGTCAAAAGCTAGAGATAGAAAATAAGATAATTAGATGTGTTCATTTTTAAATGCTGAGGGAAAATCTTTCGAACTGTATGTAGGAATACATTTTAAAATGTTACAAAAATTATCTGCAATAATTCATATATGTGATACAATTGAACTGATAAAAAGTAACTAAACTCTTATCTACTGAAAATAAGTCGTTTTCAAAGATTTTTTTTTAATATAACCACTAAACTCGGATAACTCTCTCTCCTCACTCATATGTATGGATTAACACTGAGGGCGTTGGAAGTTTGACTTATTTCAGCCAGATGAGAGGCTATACTGAGAGACATCTAAGTCTTAAGCATCAGATACTTTCAGTCCAAGAGTATCTTCACTAAAAACGTTGCCAAGAAACATTTCTTCAGGCAGCCCATTTTAGTTGTGCATGGAATATTCACAACTGAAATCCTTAATATTTATAGCCAATTGTGCCAGGAGTGACCCAGCAGCTATAACTTTGGCAAGAACACAGTTGTCTCGTGCCATGTATTGCATCTCTATTTTTGGCAGTAAAGACTGCTTTTATACAGTTGAAAATTAAAGTTCCACTTATAACGTGAAGATTTCAATGTTTCACAGAACATCAGTCTTTAAGTGCATGCCTAAAGGGCTTGAATGTAAATTACATGGACTGACTTATAAATCTGGAAGAATTTTCACTAAAATTACCTTTAATTTTGATCTTGCTTTTGTTTAATTTCTGTTCCTTTTGTAATGTGAGGGGGGCGGATAAAGGGAGAAGTACATGTTTGAGAGGGAACACAGGCTTCTCCAGGCTGGAAATAAGCCAGTGAGACATGTGTTCAAGGGAGAACCTGGTCTTGAAGAGCAAGCCTGTCTCACTTTTAAAAGTTGTTGTTTTATTGTTTCGTTGGTTTTTACTAAGTTATCTAAATAACTCCTAATTCCCTCCCAAATAGGCGATATTTGCTCTTGGAATTTTCAGACAGATTACAGAATGATATTTTTATATTAACTGCAAGCTTGATAAAATACGGACTTCTTCTGGTTTATGTCAGTTTTATATTGATGATTTATAACTTGCTGACCATTACCTAATTTCTCTATTGGTGATTTATAACTTGCTGACCATTACCTAATTTCTCTCTTTGTGTAGTGATATTGGGATTGGTCAGTCTCAAGATGACAGCATAGTAGGCTTAAGGCAGACAAAGCACATTCCCACTGCACTGCCTGTCAGTGGAACCTTATCATCCAGTAATCCTGATTTATTGCAGTCCCATCATCGCATTTTGGACTTTAGTACTACTCCTGGTAAGCCTCGCCTTACTTCCTTTGTTTTACTGTAGCAGTCTTTTTTCTTCTAAACTAGTGGCAATGATGTATGTATCTCTCTCTATTTGGCATGGATTGTATCAGATGCTAAGAGTCAGGAAGAATCTTAAATTTAAGCAACTGGAACAAAATCTTTATTTAGAATCTCTGAATTTTTTTTTGTCTCTTGTAAAATGAAGATAACACATATTGCACCTGTACTGCCATGTCATAAGGAAAAAAAAAGGTTATATTTTTTAAGTCTCCTGGGCTGGAGTGATAGCATAGCAGATAGGGCATTTGCCTTGCACACAGCCAGCTTGGGTTCGATTCCTCTTCCATCCCTCTTGGAGAGCCCCGCAAGCTACTGAGAGTATCCCACCCACATGGCAAAGCCTAGCAAGCTCCCCATGGTGTTATGACAAAAATACAGTAACAACAAGTCTCACAATGGAGATGTTACTGGTGCTCTCTTGAACAAATCAATGAACAATTGGAGGACAGTGCTACAGTGGGCTCATCACAAATCACAAATCATCCTGTTATTCGTCAATTGCCTCGAGCAGGCCCCAGTAACGTCTCCTTCATCCTAGCCCTGAGATTATGTTCAAGGCTCTTTAGGAGAATGAGACCCATCATTGTTACTGGTATTGGCATATTGGGTACGCCACGGGGAGTTTGCCAGACTCTTCCATGTGGGCAGGCTACATTCGGTAGCCTGCCAGTTTGTCAAAGTAAGAATGAGATGTCATAATAAGATATTGTGTGGCCACAAATGCGGTCGCACAGTTCCGGGAGCTGGTTTTTATAGTCTCTGAGTCTTGGCCGCTGATGGGATTACACGGCGCCAGGAGGCCAGGTGGTGGGTGTGACCCCCGCCTACTGGAATTTGGAGGATCTGGATGGAAGATGCTCGACTCCAATCCGAGTAGGCTTGGAGGTCTCGGCCCCGGAACCCGCGTGGCTTTGTCCCTCTGCCAGTACCTTCAGGTGTGCGGAGAGTGGTCTCAGCATGGTGGTGGCTGGTCCTGGAGGTCTTCGGCTGCCGAGCCCTGGTCGGGGCGGGGAGGAAAGCTCAACCCGCTCCCCTCCAATAGGCCTCGGCGAGGACAGCCAGGCGCGGGGGCAGGAGACTGTACTGTTCTCTTCCGGGAGCTGGTTTGGGGCTGAGCATCCTCCACCCAGATCCTCCAAATTCCAGTAGGCGGGGGTCACACCCACTACCTGGCCCCCTGGCGCTGTGTAATCCCATCAAGGGCCAAGACTCAGAGACTATAAAAACCAGCTCCCGGAAGAGAACAGTGCATTCTCCTGCCCCCGCGCCTGGCTGTCCTTGCCGAGGCCCATTGGAGGGGAGCGGGTTGAGCTTTCCTCCCCACCCCGACCAGGGCCCCGGCAGCCGAAGACCTCCAGGACCAGCCACCACCATGCTGAGACCACTCTCCGCACACCTGAAGGTACTGGCAGAGGGACAAAGCCATGCGGGTTCCGGGGCCGAGATCTCCAAGCCTACTCGGTTTGGGGCCGAGCATCCTCCACCCAGATCCTCCAAATTCTAGTAGGCGGGGGTCACACCCACCACCTGGCCCCTGGCGCCGTGTAATCCCATCAGCGGCCAAGACTCAGAGACTATAAAAACCAGCTCCCAGAAGAGAACACTGGGCTCATTACTATAAGAAAAAAAAAATTTTTTTTTTCACTTTTTTTGCTACCAACTTAACAGACTTGTGGTTTCTCATCTATCCTGATGTCTCTGCATTTGTCTGTAGATGGTTCTTTTACCTTTCGGGGGGGGAAATGTGTTCTTGTAACACATTGGCAACTGACTGCTTGAATCTTTAAAGAACTATAGAAAGGAAGAACTGAAGGTTTAGCGTTTTTTTTCTAAAGAGATTTTTTTTCAGATTATTATTTGCATTACCTTATATTAAAATCTTTTTAACTTATGTATTGCTTTTCTCTCTCTCCCCACAGATTTGCCAGACCAGGTATTAAGGGTTTTTAAGGCTGATCAACAAAGTCGATATATCATGATAAGTAAGGACACCACAGCAAAAGAAGTGGTCGTTCAGGCCATCCGGGAGTTTGCTGTGACTGCCACCCCTGATCAATATTCACTCTGTGAAGTTTCCGTCACACCTGAGGGAGTAATCAAGCAAAGAAGACTTCCAGATCAGCTCTCCAAACTTGCTGATAGAATACAACTGAGTGGAAGGTATACAACATTTGATCTACTAATTGGCTTTCTTTGGCCTCTCTTGGAAACCACTGCAAAATCTAAGAGATGAACACTTTCAGGTGGTTTTTTTAAATGAGTTATCACCTCTCTGCTGATTGAAAAACAAAAAAAAAATCGTGTTTCTCTCCCCTCGTATAGTAGACTATTGACCCTTACTGGGATCTAAGAACTTTCAAGTTCAAGAACTTTCAAGCAAGGTCATCATAGTGCCTTGGCCTGGCAGGCGCTGTGCAGAGAAAGCCTGAACTAAACCCACCGAGCAAACCCCGAGGCTTTCTCCCCTTGCATCCATACTTTCACAACAGCCTCTAATAGTGCTCTAGTGCCATTTGGTCAGCAGAGACATCCAATCCTTGCCCGTTACGCTCTGCAAAATGCTTCTTAGAAACCAAACTTGCAAGAAAACATACCTGATTTTGCTAGTCTCTTCAATGGTACATTTGTTGATTATGTTGTCTCCTCATATCGCAAATTAGTGAAAGTTGAAATGTAGTTTGGCTCATATGATGACAAGATTCTATATATTGTTAAAATTAAATAGTTCCGTGAGTCACATTTTTTTCTATTTTTCTTGCCATATGGAGTGTTTCGTTGTACTTGACTTGTATGTGTTATATATCTAAACCATGATTTAAGTTATCCAAAGCTTGTTTTCTTGCCATCAGATATCTGTACGTTAAATATCCCACAAAATACAGGAAAAGGCAGCAACAAATCAGAACAGCAGTGATAAAAAAGATCTATCAGGGATGCCTGCCCTGAGCCCAGACAGGATACAGATTTGGGAGGCAAGGTGCTATATGCTATATGCCAGTGTTTTCCCAGAGTTTTTGTCTGTATTTTTAGGAGACTGTACTAATTGTCACTACTCCTGCCCACAGTGTTTGCAGAGTAGGAGGGTGCGGGGGCAAGAAGGGAAGATTTAGTGAGGTCAGCAAGTAAACATGGCAAGCTAGAGCCAAGATCTACAGTATAGCACCAGGACTGCACTAGCTCTACCTTTCTTGTTCTCATTTTTTCTTTATTTCCAGCACTGGCACAATCAGATTATGTTGTTTTTGGAGGTCAGGCTTTCTCCCCATTTCAGTCAACATTGATCACTGGCAAAGCTTGTAGTCATGGTGTCCTCCAACTCCGTTAAGGTGCAGTCATGTTCACATTTGTTACATGAAACCTCAGGAAGGATATTATAGATAGTTACATGTCAGGGGCCTAATGAGGAATCAGAACTGAACATATTGACTCTGGGTATGTCGCGGGCCCAAGGAACAAGGTTTTTTGTCAAGTATGCCTTTGAGGAAAATGCTCAAGGCCAGTTAGGCAGCACTCCCACCGCCTTCTTTGTTTCTTCCTGGATTGAATTTGGCTTAGGAAAATCATCTCTATACAAAGTAAATTTTTCTGTTGTTTTTTGGACTGTGCCCAGCTATGCTCAGGACTTACTCCTGGCTATGCCCTTAGACCAGGTGTGATGCTAAAATTGAACCAGGGTCAGCTGCATGCAAGGCAAGCACCTTACTTGCTGTATGCTATCTCTTGGGCCCTTTACAAGCAATCTTTGCAGCAGGAAAGAGAAAGGAGTATAGTTTTTAATCTTGGGGAACCTCTGTCCTCATCAACCAACAGGTATAGTACATGTTCCACTTTTGTAGGATTTTCATAAAAATCAGGTATTTAAGAATTAAGCTGTTTTACTCCAGTTTTATTCATAGAATCAAAGAGAAGGGTGTAGCTTATAAAGTGGGATCTGTGCGATGTGAATCCATCAATGGTTGCAAATGCTCTCTGGGAAAACAGTGATGGCATTGGCTTCCTTCCTTCCAGCCTATTTGCTAATTTAAACTGAAAATTTAAACATAACAATTTTTGGCCATTTTTAGCAAAAAGAAGATAATCTAGAAAATAGAGCAAGACAGGGAAAAAAAGAATTAAAACTAGTACAAATGAAATTCTGTGTGACCTGTTAGTCTGCAGCACTGACTGTAGGCAGGTGGTTCTGTGGTCAGTGACCTGCATTCTCCCTTTCAGTCGACAAAAACCCCACTCACCTAATTCAGTGTCCTCTCAAACATCCATCAGAAGTAGCCTTTTTCTCCAAAGAAATACCTCGAGCTGCTCCTTAGATTTTGAATTCTGTGTTTCCACAGGTACTACCTGAAGAACAACATGGAGACCGAGACCCTGTGCTCTGATGAAGACGCGCAGGAGCTGCTGCGGGAGAGTCAGATTTCCCTCCTGCAGCTCAGCACCGTGGAAGTGGCCACGCAGCTCTCCATGCGGAATTTCGAACTCTTCCGCAACATTGAACCCACAGAGTACATCGATGATCTATTTAAACTCAAGTCGAAAACCAGCTGTGCCAACCTGAAGAAATTTGAGGAAGTCATTAACCAGGAAACATTTTGGGTCGCTTCTGAAATTCTGAGGGAGACAAACCAGCTGAAGAGGATGAAGATCATTAAGCATTTCATCAAGATAGCACTGCACTGTCGGGAGTGCAAGAATTTTAACTCCATGTTTGCGATCATAAGGTAAAATCGGATTCTTGGCTTCAGGTGTGGTTGGGATCGCCTGAGTCAATCCCAGAACACTATGTCATTGGTATAAGTGCAATGGTTTTTAATTGAATCATATTGAATAGGGTATTTTGTTAGGCTTTCCTTTTTCCTTTTAGTCCTTGATTTAAAATCTCTTTCATGCCAATGAGGAACCCAAGGCACTGTACTCACCACATTTTTACCTTAGAGGGAATCTTCTTTTCAATATTTCTCAGGACAGTAGTTTATTTCTCTCTAAAATAGCAATTTGCCCCCACCCTGCTGTTATTGAGTAAACAATACAAAAGAAGTTCTATCACCCTATAAGTTCCTAGTAAGATGCTGAAGAAATAAATCTGAACAATTCACAATTTTGGTGACTGTTAGTCTTTTTATTAGTAAAGGACACTTTACTCTTCTGGCTTTCATTACTTTAGGATATTTGGTCAGTCTTTTATCAAATACCTTCTGTGTATGAAGACAAGCAACAAACTACCCTGATGCCCATGATATGTCTACATGTCATTCCGAGGGGCTTTTTCTCATAGTACACAGATCAGAGTGGTATGAAGAATCAAATCCCTTAACTCTGATCCTGCTAACAGCCTATGTTAACATCACCTGGAATTAGCAATAGAATTTCTTATAAATTCTGTCAACTACTATGTGTATAAATATGTAAACATCCCACGGTATTTTAATGTTCCAATGATGAATCCTTTCATTTCATGACTATTTTTCTTCTTCTCAGTGGCCTAAACTTGGCTCCAGTAGCGAGACTACGAACCACCTGGGAAAAACTTCCCAATAAATATGAAAAGCTATTTCAAGATCTCCAGGACTTGTTTGATCCTTCCAGAAACATGGCAAAATATCGCAATGTCCTTAATAGTCAAAACCTGCAACCTCCCATCATCCCGCTATTTCCTGTGATCAAAAAAGATCTCACATTCCTCCATGAAGGTAAATACAGAGGATTTCTCTCTGTACTTGGAGGACCATAGAATAAGTGCCGCTGATTCCTTTTATTCTTTGCCAACTGCAGGAAATGACTCCAAAGTAGAGGGACTGGTCAATTTTGAGAAACTAAGGATGATTGCTAAAGAAATTCGTCATGTTGGCCGCATGGCTTCAGTTAACATGGACCCTGCCCTCATGTTCCGGACTCGGTGAGTGGATCATCAGAGCATGCGTGGGATTAGATAAGGTTAAATTGGTGATAGTTAAAACATGAGAAATAATTGCATGCTTATATATCCATGTAGCATGGCACAAGTTTTGTCAGGGTTGCCAAAAATTTTTACTGAGCTCTAATTTGGAATAAATATCTTATTCTGCATCAAGTATACTTCGGGCTGTCGGTTAAAAAACAGTGTGTTCCATAAATCGTTCGCATTTAACATGAGGCACAGTTATGTTTCCCTGTTTTTCAGAACACTGGTTTGTAGCCCTAAAGCTCATTGGTAGTGTGAAAGTAGGCTAACCCAAAAAACATTGTCTCAGTATCCATACAGTGGATTTAACCGTCAGTGTGCCAGAAGGTGACAATTGGAATCCCTTAGGACCGAAAAACATTAATTTATTTGTCTTTTGAGCTAGAAAATAGAAACTCTGGTAGAACTGTGTGTGCAAGATGATTGTGCCGTTTAATGTTTTTGGGCTTCTAGTACTGCTTATCCAGAAGTCTAGTCCTTTCTCTTTCTGAGCTTGTGATCTTTCTGTCTCTCTTTCTACACCCATGCTTCAATCTCCATGGCTCTCACTTACAGGAAGAAGAAGTGGAGGAGTTTGGGGTAAGTGGTGGAGACTTTGCACACCCACACACGATTCTTGTTCTGCTCATTGCATTATTTTCATACCTGCTATATTTTCAGATGCTTTGCATTTGTGCAGTTTCCTTTAACCTCTTGCTCTAGCAGAATTTTCAGTTAGCAAACTGACCTCCAGTGTAATCAATTTGGGGCTTTTGCAGTCAGGACCCATGGATTGCTGTGAAATGATTGATGCTGGTTCTGGTAACTGTAGGCCAGGCAAACTTGAACTTCCAGAAAGATTTTTGTTAAAATGGTAATTTGTGTGTCTTGATAGTGGAGTCTAAAGTGGTGTTGGGGAGGAAGAATTTTAGAAGGAAAATTTGTGCAATTTAAATACTGTTGCACGGACACTTGAAAAATAACTATATATAATATAAAAGATGCCCCTTAGGTGTTGAAACATTTTTACAGCTCAACTAACTACTATTTTCATTCTCTGAACCAATCCTTTTAAAAAAATAATACTTAACAATTCATGTGCTAGTTTCTATACATATATTTACATTTGCATGGCCATTGTATTAACAGATTGATCATATTCCTTAAAAAAAAACTCACTACATTTAACCCAAAGTGTAAGAAAACAATTCTGAATACTGTAAATTTTTAAAAATATTTTCAAGAGAAGTATATATGTTGTAAACCTTACTGTACCTTGCATGAGCTTTTATATTTAATGTTATTTGTTGACTCCTTTGAGAGAACCTCCTTGAGTGCTTTATAGATGTGAAAAGTAGCAGTTTTACAGTCATACCAGAACAGGTGCCAAACACATAGACATTTGTATGACTTTTTAAAAATTTATGTTGTTCTGGATCACTTTGTGACAGTTTACATACCAGAAGGAGGCATGTGACCTTTAGAACATAGAATATTTACATAAATCTTGGCACTTTTCAAGTAATCTGAAGTAGTCCCACGCTAGAGTGAGCTGCATTTATCTACCTTTTCATCTTCCAGGTCTCTCAGCCAGGGTAGTACAAATGCAACAGTACTAGATGTTGCTCAGACAGGTGGTCATAAAAAGCGGGTACGTCGTAGTTCCTTTCTCAATGCCAAAAAGCTTTATGAAGATGCTCAGATGGCTCGTAAAGTGAAACAATACCTGTCCAATTTGGAGCTGGAAATGGATGAGGAGAGTCTTCAGACATTATCACTGCAGTGTGAACCAGCCACCAACACATGTGAGTGGTCCCTTCAAATGGCCCTCTGACTAACTGAACTGCAGATTTGTTCTTGGGCAGTGGTCTGGATGGGGACAAAATTGGGCTTAGTGCAAAGGGAGAAATAGCATCCCAAGACATGCTAACCTTCCTGCTGTGCAGTACTGCTGGGTACCACGCAGCACTGTTCTAGCAGGGTTAGTGGCAGAAGGCAGCTGTGATTCCATTCCCATTTGGCTGATGTGCGTGATAGGGGCACACACGTGGATGCACCTCCCAGGTGCTTCCCTCCTTGTCTCACAAAGATAATTCCCAGTGGCCAGACAACCTGTAAAGGGCAGGGGGGCACAAGTGAGAGGGGCACAGAAATAGATGTGCAAGTCACCTGTATGCCCTCAGCCTCCCTTTCACCCAGCAACAAGTTAAGCTGCCCTGGGAAGCGGAATTCTGCCACTGTAGGAACCACCTGTGAGCATCACGTGGAGAGTCCTGCCTCCCCTTGACAGATCATCCAGGCTAGGAATGGGGCGACTTTTGTTCTGTTTGCACTTAAAATCGTAAGATACCTCTTATAGAACTTAAATGTTGCATAGATAATTTAAAACAGCCCAGTTATTAAATGTGCCCTGGACACCATAGAAGTACAGTGTGTGCTGGTAAAGGGCGTGTCTCCTGGGAGGCTCTTCTGAGTTCCAGTCCTGTTTTATTCCTTAGCAATGTCACAAGACAAAATGTCTCGATAATACATCCATGTACATGCATATATTATCGAGCTGTTTTGAACATTGACGAATATACAGCATTTCCTAGTCCGGTTTATTTATCTTCTGTCTGCTCTCAAATCTCAGACTCAGTAGAATATTGGATTCAGCAATGGTGACTGGTGTTGACATACAGGATTCTCTCCAAAGGAGAGAATTTGATGGTCTGAAAAATATCAATTCGGGGGCAGGGGATGCAGCTAATGCTATTTATTAAATAACTGCCAAGCAATTTTGGTCACTACTTTAGAAACACCTAATTTTATTTTATTTTATTTTGCTTTTTGGATCACACCCACCGATGCACAGGGGTTACTCCTGGCTCTTCACTCAGGAATTACTCCTGAGGTGCTCGGGGGACCACATGGGATGCTGGGAATCGAACCCGGGTCAGCCACGTGCAAGGCAAATGCCCTACCTGCTTCGCTATCGCTCCAGCCCCAGAAATACCTAATTTTATTTTTAGTGTGCTCTTTACTTTTTTGTCCTGCCGTGGTTTTAAAATGTCTTACAACAAGGGCTTCCCAACTGTTTTATTTTTCTTTCATAAATAAGCAGAAAAAAATACATAAGCATTTTAGTTTCCTAATTGCAGAAAACAGTTATGTGGTTCTAAAAATAATCTCGTATGTGGTGGTCAGAGAGATCAGCAGGTCATTGGCATTGGCAAATGTGCCCCCCCCCCCCCCCAAAGCAAAAGCAAAAAATAATCATGATTGGAGCGACTACCATCTTAAGTTTCTTTATTCTCTTTTCAAACTAAAAATTACTAGTGCCCAAGAATCCCGGTGACAAAAAGCCTGTCAAATCCGAGACCTCCCCGGTGGCGCCAAGGGCAGGCTTGCAGCAGAAAGCCCAGCCGCCGCAGCCAGCACAGAAGCTCAACCAAGCCCTGACGGTGCCCGCCGTGTCCCTGTACCCTTCACGGAAGAAAGTCCCTGTCAAGGATCTCCCACCTTTTGGTAGGCGATTCACTTCACTTCCTCTTGGTCTGATTTGGGGAAAAAAATCACTTCTCTTTGACTCAGTATTTTGAGCCTTGCCCTTATTGTTAACCTTTTCATACAACGTGAATGTTTGGTAGGTTTCATTGTACTTTTGTCAGAGGAAGGAAATATTTGCATAATGCCCAGTTATTGAGGGAGGGGCAAAATGGAAAGATTATGCTTTATGTATATACCTGTGGGTTCAGGTCACGTGGTTAAAATACTGTTAATGTTTCTCGTTTTGGTTGACAGAGGAACTGCACCTCCATCACACCCAACTGTCCAGATGTCCCTGTCCCTGTGCCTTAATCTTCTCCCATTAGTTCTGTTCTCAAAGATTTCGTAATCAGTAGATTTTATCCATTCCCTAGCTTTGTTGCTTTATGTACCACACACGACTGAGATCACCAGTGTTTGTCCCCCTTCTTTTATTTTGCATCCTTCAGCTCCACGCAGCTTATAACAAAAGGCAAGATTTCTTTCTGTCTGTAGTTCAGTGGTATCCCCATTGTGTACATATACCACATCCGTGTCATTCATCTGCCACTGGATGTTTGAGTTGTTTACATATGTTGGCTGCTATAAATAGTAGTAGGCCAAATTATTATTATATTCTTTTCCAGCTTTTGAGCCTCATCTCATGGTGCTCAGGGATAGGGCTGGCCACATGAAAGCAAGATCCTTAGCTCCTTTACAGTGTCTCTAGCTCCCAAGTCAAGATCTTTTTAAGTTAAATTATATAACTTGAGGTAAATTATGTGGGGGTTCTCTAACTTGGAGGAAAATGCGATTTTAAGTCTGGGAAATTGAGCTGAATGATGCATTGCCATGTTCCAGCTCTAGAGGGTGAGGCCTGTGGGGTATCACTGGGAGTGCTCTACATATCCCCTGAGTACAAAGTGAAAGGTCTAGAAAAAGGAGTGAAACTCAGGGAGCAGACCATGTTTCATGTGTTTGTGAGACCATACGTTCCATCCTTGGGACCATAGTGCCCCCTCATCCCCCAATTATAGCTTCTGAGCACCTTCTGAGAAAATTAAAATTGACTCACAATTTTTTAAGTGAATATGTCTCCTAGTTAAATCTTAGCACATAAATGTCATGAGATTGTTTTTTTTTTTACCCCTAAGTTTATGTGAGGAAACAACGTTAAGAAAAATTATTTTCAAGTGGATTTTGACAGAGCTTTTGTGGAGATGAAATAGTTCTCACTCAGTAGATCTTTTCAGTGAACCTTTCCGATCATTTCAAGGTTCTGAGTCCTTCCACTTTAATTCATGCATTTTGTTCTAAAGATTTTTTTCAAAGTTTCTTCCCCATAGTGTTATAGTACAGTGAATAGGACACTTGCCTTGCACAAGTTCCCTATATCGACAAGGAATAACCCAAAACCAACCAAAAGAAGTGAGATGAAAGGATTAGGTTCTTTGTTAAGTGAATTTTATGAGCACTTGCATTGACTGACGTCATTTCAGGCTATGGTGATCTTCCCACATATAAGGTGTACTTTCTGAGAGTTTCATAATACTAGTGGCTTTGTTAAATATTTCAGTGGGACTCCCTCACTTTGGGGAAGTCACTTCATATTGGCATATATGTTCCTTTTTTCTTTTACTATTATCTTTCTTGATCTTACCGTTGGGATCAGTGGAATTTTCACAGATTGCCTATGTTATTTGATCAAGTATAACTATAGTATTTCTAAGGGTTTTGTTGTTTATTTTATTCGCCGGGCCAAACCCATGACCTCATACAAGGGAATCGTAAACTCTATCCATGAGCCATATCATATCTCCAGCCCTGTCAAGAGTTTTTTAGTTCTTGCTGCTTCCTGTTTGTGGCCCTTTACTTATCTCCTATCCCTTCCATTTCCCCTTAGCTAACATATTATCTGTACCACTTTTGTTTCAAATAACCTTTACTTTCTTCTCCTTGAATGAAGACTGTGACTAGTAGATTTTAGATAATCTAAAGCTGAACTAGTGTTGTACCCAGGTTTTTGGGTCACGGCATGAACAGACAGAGACAGTAATGCAAGTGCAAAGGAGTTTTATTCCAGTTAACTGGGGTCAGCTATCTTACCCACAAAGTGGTCTTACTAGCGACCCCAACCTCCAAGTGAAAGCAGTTTATATAGGTTCCAAGGTTGAGCAAGTGCTATGATAACAGTGACCAAGCAACAGTTATCAGCAATTAGTCAACATTTGATAATCGTCAGTTTCTGTTTTTTCCAAAAATGGACATAGTGAACCACTCGTGACCAGTCAGATGATCTAGAAGTTCCTTACCAGAAATTGCAAATTCAGTTTCTGGGCAACAGAAACTTAGGCCTAGTCAAAACTTATCATTAGCTGTGGCCTGTCATGGCTGCAGTCTGGCTTTTGGATACCTAACACTAGGAGTGGAAATAGTTTCAAACTAAGAGTAATATATCTTAATATTAATCAGTTGATTAATATTATTTCCTACCCCCTCTAGGTATAAATTCTCCACAAGCTTTAAAGAAAATTCTTTCCTTGTCTGAAGAAGGCAGCCTGGAGCGTCATAAGAAACAAGCTGAGGATACGATATCAAATGCATCCTCACCTCCAACTTCTCCCCAAAGTTCTCCAAGGAAAGGTAGAACTAAATCACATACTGTACTTACTGTTTTCTTTTATGGCCACTTATACTTGTCAGATTTGATAAATTCCAGAACTGTGTATTACATCATTTTCTATATTACAAGTAATTTTAAATGACCTCCTGTATAACAATGAATTTTTCAGATATACTAATGAGTCATGTTAAATTTGAAATATATAATGCTTTTTAGAACCACATGTTTATTGATAAGTATGGAAATAATTAGTGTATTAAAAGATTTGCTCACTAAATTTGGATATATAATACTAATTATAGCAAGAAGAGGCATGTAAGAACCTAAGATATTCTTAGTATCTTCCTGATTTATTTTTTTTATTGTATTAACACGGGTCTTGATTACCTTTTTTGTTGCTATCATTTTATTTTCAAGCTGATTTCTTTTAGATACTGTCTGCTACTCCTACCCTATAATGGGTATAGAGTGCTAATAAATGACCAAGAGAGTCTCCTTCTGTGAAAGCCAAAGAGATGACTAGATTAAATTCTTAGGAAGGATACCCTTTTTCGGTATTTCTGACACCTCTGCGGGTATCAGTCTCTACTATCCTTGTTAAATGGATACATCTGAATTCTTTTCTCATCCCATTGTTAGGTGGCAGTGGCAATCAGCTGAGATCTTTTGGCTCCGGGCAGTTGGACTTAACCAGTTCCTCCTCTTCTCTCGGAAGTGAGAACAGTAACAAGAATAACAATGCACCACGGACCTATGGGATAGGTGGGGTTCATAGAACCAAAAATGGTGTGAAAAAGAGAGGAATCGCCTCCTTAGTTAAGAAAATTCCTCCAAATATCAAGTGCTCCATCAGTTATTACTTTTACCTTAAATCTTGTCTGTCAAAGCTTTCAGTGTGGTTTGTAAAAAAGACAGGAGCACATTAAATCCATCAAGACCTGTGTAACCTTTAAAAAATAAATCAGGAAGTAACAATTTCTGGAAGGATAGGAAAATAGTAGATTCTACAGATTAATTTGTGGAATTAAAATAATATTACATTGCATACACAGAATTATATAAAGTCAGTGTTTCAGATAACATGATAACTGCATTAGTATATGAAAAAGATTTTGATTTTCTCTTCTCCTTAATAAGCAGAAAAGCCTATTCTGTGTGACATTCAAAATTGCTTTTAGCAACAATTTGTCTAAAAAGGGGATATATCGGTTTAGGTATTTAAAAGTGATGGCCGAGAGGATATAGGGAGATTTTTGATTCATTATCATTAATCTTAAAATAAGTGAAACAATCTTCCTCAGGTCTTGTGCTACATGTGCACTTAGAAGTGTTTGGTTGGGGTAGAGAGATCCTACAGGATCTTTGCTTTGCCTGTAGCTGGAACTGGTTCAGTCCTCCCACATGACACCCAAGCAACATCCGGGTCACCCTTGAGCCAAGCCCATCACTCCTGAGCACTGCTGGCTGTGGCTAGACTCCTCGCCCCCTCCATAAGGATAATAAGCTTTCGCCCATAGTCCAGTTGACTAAGTTCTAAAAATTGAAAATATTGTTGAGGAAAAAATATTCTAAAATTTAATTAGAGTTACTCATAGTACTCGTGTTATTCTACACAAAAGAAACTAACATTGAAGAAACTTCTAGATAATGGAATAGGGCTGTGATTTCTTTCTAACTTTTATAACAATACTTTCTGTTTTCTCTCTTTTACTCTCACCAAAGAAGGAAAGGTTCTTTTGTTAAAAATCTTGACTAACAACAAGTAAAGTGGTTGTTCCCCCACTTCAGTGGTGATGTCTTTGATCTACAATTTGGTTTTTCTTCTGATTTTTAATTAAAGTATATCTAATTCATATGTTTGTTTCCCACGCAGGCTACACATTGGCGCCCAGTGGTACTGTGGACAACTTCTCCGATTCCGGTCACAGTGAAATCTCTTCTCGCTCCAGCATTGTCAGCAATTCTTCCTTTGACTCCGTGCCAGTGCCGCTCCATGACGAGAGGCGCCAGAGGCATTCAGTCAGCATTGTGGAAACAAACCTGGGCGTAGGGAGGATGGAGAGAAGGACCATGATTGAGCCCGATCAATACAGCTTGGGGTAGGTTGCTATTCTAAGGAGTCCTGTCTTTGAAATTTCTTCTAAGTTTAGGTTGGTTTTAGATAATGCCACGGAAATTTGACGGCATCCCAGCTCTGATGGTCAAAAAATTTCTAGATCATTAAGTACCGCACAGTTTTTGTGGGGCAGTCTGCTTGGTTTTATTCTATATTGGAACTTAGTTATTGTGTACAAAAAGAGAGAGGGTAAATTTAGGATGTCTCCTGGTTTTTTAAAGTTGCTTTCCTGAAATGATCAGATTATACTTTAAACCATCTTTGATCTTAGAGAGAAAATGGTTTTATATGATAAGCAGTTGATCTGTTTTTGCTATGGTAATAAGAGGGTAAGAGAACTGTATGCAACCATTATCATACAATCTAATAGTGCTTTCATCTTTTGGAATGAAATAAAGCTATCTTGATGGGGGAAAGGGTATTTTGGCTTTATGTTAACAACCCTGCATGGTTTTTTCCCCCTTTCTCTGTTTCTTTTGCCCACACAGGTCGTATGCAGCAATGTCCGAGAGTCGAGGCTTATATGCTACAGCTACGGTGATTTCTTCTCCAAGCACAGAGGAACTTGTCCAAGACCAGGGGGACCGCGCATCACTCGATGCTGCCGACAGTGGCCGTGGGAGCTGGACGTCGTGCTCCAGTGGTTCCCACGATAATATACAGACCATCCAGCACCAGAGAAGCTGGGAAACGCTTCCTTTTGGGCACACTCACTTTGATTATTCAGGGGATCCTGCCGGCTTATGGGCCTCAAGCAGCCATATGGACCAAATGATGTTTTCCGATCACAGCACAAAGTATACCAGGCAAAGTCAAAGTCGAGAGAGTCTGGAACAAGCCCAATCCCGGGCAAGCTGGGCATCTTCCACGGGCTACTGGGGGGAAGACTCGGAAGGTGACACCGGCACAATAAAGCGAAGGGGTGGGAAAGACGTTTCCATTGAAGCAGAAAGCAGTAACATAGCTTCAGTGACCACCGAAGAAACCAAACCCGTTCCCATGCCTGCCCACATCGCCGTGACTCCGACCACTGCGAAGGGCCTTATGGGTAAGCATCCTGGAAACCACTGCCCTGGGGCGCTTCTCCCACCGTGGCCCACCCACTGAGTTGTGTTCAGGATTTTGAAATGAATTCTGGTTAAGAGCCCAAGATCTCTGGTCAGACACACATGACTATATCCCAGTGTAGGAAACACCCGTGCCATTTTGGCTGATTCAGGTTTTTATGATGTATATAATATTTTTCCCCCGTTTGTTGCAATGACCGGAGCTACTGTCACATACTTTGGTTGTGGTGCCTGCTCACATGTTTTGTTTGGGACCGGGATGGGCCCTTCATCTAGTTTTTCATTATGAAGGACTTACCCATTCTCTCCAGGTTTCCCAAACAGGTTGATTTTCCACTCTCCTTCCTCCACGGTGGTGATGAATGGGTTATGCACACTCGGTTGCGCTGCTCACATATGCTTGGTTGAGTCAAGGCAGGTGTGCTGGGGACCTCGTGCCTGCAAGGCAGATGCTTTACCACTTGAGCTGGCCCCAGGCCCATGATTAAAGCCGTTTTAAATCTCCTTGCCATACCAATTTTTTTTGTTATGTAGATAGTTTTGAACTACAAAACAGGAGAAAATATAATGAATTGTGGGATTAGGAGTCAGGCAAATGGTTAGAATTCAATTTTGCCAGTCTCATCTCAGTAATTTCTAGGGATAGAGCTGCTATGAAGATGGAAGGTAATCTACAGAAAACACTTAAAGCAGTATATCTAGACAGCAGTAATTCATACTTTATCAGGGTTTTTTTTGGGGGGGTGAGGCAGGGGAGAAGAGGTGGGGAAGTTGGTTTTCATTTTTTAATACAAATAGTCATAGGTGGTTTTCAACTTTCATATCCTTTTAAAAAGAATAAAGAGAAAGCAATTAATACAAATTCTTGGGTTACAGTTCCTAACTGGAAAGCATACTTAGTCTGGAAAGCTCAAGAAAATAAACTTGTATTTTACTCTTATTAGGCTTCTTTCTAGTCTAGGGCATGCACTTATTTAGGGTTTGCATCATTTTTGTACTCCTTTCCAAATTGAGAATCAGGAGGATACTCATCTGGAATTGCTTTTGAGCCTGACCAAGGTAGAGGCCCATCACAATCAGGATAGCTACTTTTCCTGGGGAAGGGAACATGGCCAGGCATCACCAACAGATCCCAAGCTCTAATGTTTTCAGAAAGCCCTGGGCTGGGTGGTAACCTTGACTCTTTTCTGGTTTGAACACAAAAGCTAAAGCTACCAAGAGGGCCTGGAACTTCCCCCTAGCTACTCTACCACCGAGGTAACTGTGGTAAATAATGGGTGTAGGTACGATCCACTTTTCAGCCTGTCAGATACCTGCATGTCTAGCCCCTATCACACAAAATCACATTTGCGATGACACTCTTGTTTTAATACTAAACTATATGTCACACATGGCAGTATTTCTGTGTAGCAGGCATTAGTGGCACGAAATACTCTTCCACAGACTTTTCAGAGCTGGTTTATTGTTTTCACTGCAGCACGAAAGGAGGGCCGGTATCGAGAACCCCCGCCCACCCCTCCGGGCTACATCGGGATCCCTATTACTGACTTCCCTGAAGGGCATGCTCATCCAGCCAGGAAGCCTCCGGACTACAACGTGGCTCTTCAGCGATCTCGGATGGTCGCCCGACCCAGTGACCCTGCCGGGCCTTCCCCCGTGCAGCAGCCGCCTGGTCAGACAGCAAGTGGCCGGCCGGTGAACAAGCCCCAGTGGCATAAACCCAACGAGTGTGACCCGCGCCTCGCCCCCTATCAGTCTCAAGGGTTCTCTACTGAGGAGGATGGTATATATGCATTCTTGAAACTGGACTTAGCTGTGTTTCTTAATTTTGTTGGTGTAATTCTGTTGTCAGCTGTATCTTTAGCCATATACACACACACAAATTACTGGGGTTTTTTTGGGGGGGAGGGGGCGGTGTTCCACCCAGTGATGCTTAGGGCTGTTCTTGGTGCTGTACTCAGGAGTGAACCTTGGTCATCCAGGTTCAGAGACTACGTGTGGTACTAGAATTGACTGCATGTCAGGCAAACACCTCCTTAGGATGTTTCTGGCCCAACAAAGAATATTTTTTAGTCTGAACCCCACAATTTATTCCCCCCTCCCTCCATCATTACAAAGTATCCACAAGATTAAGGCCAGAGAGAGTTGAGTGCAGGCGTAGCGGGGTGGACGCCAGGGTTGACGTAACAGAGGACATGTGTGACTGAATTTCTTTCCTAATTCCCAAAATCTATTAAAGGAATATGCATTCTTTACTGCCCGCAGCATAATCTGAGATTTGTGACTGCTCTATCTCTTCCTCCTCCTTACATCATTCTAAGTAACATTTCCCCTACACTCAAATCACCCTACCATTTAGGATGATGGGGAGAGAGCCTGTCTTGCCTTTGAGTCATGGAATTTAATCACAGGGGGGAAAAAAGCAAAGTAGTTAAGTAAAATGACTTAAAAATCTTGCTACTTCTAGATCTTTCTATACTTCATCTATATGTGAATTATATTGAAAATGTCCTAGGCTGCTCGAATGAGTTATCAGTGTATATGTGTCCACATCAGTGGGGTTCATTATTTTTTAAGTGTACTAAAAACTTAGCTGTGGTCTTTCTCTGTAACACTTACCGTGGTCTCATTTGCTCATTGGATTTTCTCTCTTTTTTCTCTCCCCCGGTGGCACCTGCAGAAGATGAGCAAGTATCTGCTGTTTGAGGCACAGGCTTCTCTGGACGCGGAGTCAGCCACCAACAGGGAGAGCACAAGAAGACGGGCTCCTCGCACAGGCGCCCCGGAACTCACATTCTGCGGATGGTGGACCAGTTTGCCTCCTTCCCTGCCTTAAAAGCAGCATGGGGCTTCTTCTCCCCTTCTTCCTTTCCCCTTTGCATGTGAAATACTGTGAAGAAATTGCCCTGGCACTTTTCAGACTTTGTTGCTTGAAATGCACAGTGCAGCAGTCTTCAAAGCTCCCACTGTTGCTGCCTGCCACATCACACAGTATCATTCCAAATTCCAAGATCATCACCGCGAGATGATTCACTCTGGCTGCACTTCTCAAAGCCTGGAAGGATTTTTTTTCTTTTTTTTTTCCTGAATCTTCCTCTTAGATTGCAATCCAGTCCTAGCACTTGGTCTCATTGGGATAATGAGAGAAGCTAGCCATTGAACTACCTGGGGCCTTTAATCCACCAAGGAAGACACAAACAATGAAATCCTTCGCGTAGTGCTTGTCCACTTGTTTACAATGTCCTCTTTTTTTTTCTTTTTTCCTAAAGGAAAAAAAAAAGTTTAAAGATTGTGTTCAGAGAGTAAATATTATTATATCCATGTAATGATTACAGTATTATTTTCAACCTTTAAGCAAGGGTTGCCAGCCTGGGTTTCTGACAAACCAAATAATGCCGGACAGAGTGTGGCCACACCAAGAAGAGGGGACGTCCTGGCCGTGCCCTGGTCCTTCTGGTCTCACCCCTGAAGTGCCCTATCCTGGAATAGGAAACGTATGTTCGCCAATTACTTAACTACCAAGACACCTCATCCGCGCCTTCCCCAGTGGGTGAGGCCTCCGCAGACTGTTTGCACATGGCCAGGTGGGGGAGGGAAATGGGACTCCCGGGTCCCATGTCTGAGCCTTATGGAGCCCAGGGCCGCGTCACTGAGAGGCCAGGCCCTGCTCCATTGAGACAGATGGCAAACCGCATCTTTAAGTTATATTTGATTTTTTTTTTTTGGTCTGAGGATTTTTTTTTTAAAGAGAAATGTTTATAACTGGATAGCATTGCAGTGAAAGCAGCTGGGGGTGTTGGGGCGAATGCCGGCTGTAATACTGCTCTTCCAAGACAGCCTCCCTTCACGGAATTGGCTTTAGGGGCTCAAGACGCCTTTCTCACAGTAAAATGAACAAAAACCTGGTTAGCACGCCAGCCTCTGCAAGTGGCTTCATGGGCACCGAAGACCGAGAAGGCCTAAGTGTAGAAACCACCTGCTCACAGCTGCTATTGACCCGAGAATGACTGAAATGATCCCTCCGCTCTATTTTTGTGTTGGTTTTGCACAGACTCCGGAAAAGTGAAGGCTGCCAATCCGAGTAGTACTCAAATGTGAGGAACTGCTGGTCTTGGATTTTTTTTTTCCATTAAATTCAGCTGATCATATTGATCAGTAGATAAACGTAAATAGCTTCAGATTTTAAAAAGAAAGTCGAATTGCAGTGTTTTTTCACTGTATCAAACAATGTCAGTGCTTTATTTAATAATTCTCTTCTGTATCATGGCATTTGTCTACTTATATATTACATTGTCAATTATGCATTTGTAATTTTACATGTAATAAGCATTATTTGCCAGTTTTATTATATAGGCTATGGGCCTCATGTGCATATAGAAAGACAGAAATCTAGCTCTATCACAAGTTGCACAAATGTTATCTAATCATTAAGTAATTATAGAACATAGGACTGCTAATCTCAGTTCGCTCTGTGATGTCAAGTGCAGAATGTACAATTAACTGGTGATTTCCTCATACTTTTGATACTACTTGTACCTGTATGTCTTTTAGAAAGACATTGGTGGAGTCTGTATCCCTTTTGTATTTTTAATACAATAATTGTACATATTGGTTATATTTTTGTTGAAAATGGTAGAAATGTACTATGTTTATGCTTCTACATCCAGTTTGTATAAGCTGGAAAATAAATAAATATAACAGATGGCCTCTTCTTTCCTCTTCCTTAGCCAAGCATGCCTTTTCTTCGTGACGTGGACACGGCCCTGGAATCTCCTAGGAAGGAGTCTTGAGAGTTGAGAGCAGTTTAGACCTGGCTGGTGGAAACTGCCAGTTGGCCTATTCTTTTAGGTACTTTGCCATGGATTCTGAGGAAAAAACAGTGTATTGTGAACATTTAAAAAAGAAAAGAAAGAAAAGAAAAAGCTCATACAAACCCTGTGCAGAATTCAAAGTTTTTCTGGAGATTCTTTAAACTTTGTTGTTTTGGGGTCGGGGCCCCACCCTTGACCTTGTGCAGGGTATTCCTGGCTGACCCGGGATTTAAACCGGGGTCTGCGGGATACAAGGCAAGTGTCTCAACCTGTTACTTCCTCTCCAGCCCCAGAGATTTTAGTATAAAAGATCAGCATCCATTCACAATCTTTTCCCAAAAAATCAACTCTGCAGGACATATTTTGATTCCCAGTAAATCAAAGTATGAGAAACAGATCCTCAGAGAACTTTACTGAAATGTTAGAAATTGACTTAACCAACGGTATTCTTCTCGTCAGTACCTAAAATACCACAGTTAAGTCTTTATTCTAATGTGAGGTAAGTGTGAATAAGATATCCGTCTGTCATAAGGGTAGTGTTTTGAAATCATGGACTTCTTACCTGCCTGTAGGCCTGAATAAAAGCACCTATCACTTGTTCTGCGAGTTCAGAGGTGGCAGTAGAAGCCTGTGAACACAAAAGACAAGTAAATGTGAGGCAGTCTAAAAAGTAGAAATTTAGTCTTGAAACTAACGGGGAAATGGCCAGAACTTCCGAAGTTAAGCCACCTCTCTGGATGAGTTGATTTTGCAAATATGGCATAGCAACTGATAGTTCAAAACTGTAGCTTCAGCTGCATATTTTTCAAAAGGAAGGCACACTGTCTATTTGTCAGTTTCTTATTAATGAAGCCCATTACACTAGGATACCCCTATCAATACAATAATCCATGTTCTACTTAGTTCAATGCTCTATTTCTATTTTATGCTTTAAGAAATATTGATGAGGTATCTTAATGACTATCGCTTTATTTTCTGCTGAAAACAAATCAGCCTTGATGCCTTTATCGCCCTACTTTTAGGTTGCATTCCAATAGCTGGAGCGATAGCACAGCGGGTAAGGCGTTTGCCTTACAAGCGGCCAACATGGCCGACCCGAGTTCGATTCCTCCGCCCCTCTCGGAGAGCCTGGCAAGCTACCAGAGAGTATTTGATATGCCAGACACAGTAACAACAAAGTCTCCAATGGAGACGTTACTGGGCCCGCTCGAGCAAATCGACGATCAACGGGAGGGCCTTTACCTTTTTTACCTTTACCAATAGCAAAAGACTTGTCTGTTTCAGAACCCGAAGAGTGCTATGTCTTGATTATGATATAATCAAGATAAAATTTAATATATATATAATTTAAGATATATGATATAAAGATCTAATCAGCAGTGTCAGAGCTTAATATGTAAAAATATCACAGAAAAGTTGGTGGAAGTCTTAACACTCTTCCCTAATCAAAAAGGTCCAGCAAGCCAAGTTTTTTTTTTTAATCCCTGATTTTGTTTCTAAGAGTTAAAACTTTTAATACTTAGCTCGATCCATTTTCCTATTATGAGGTACAGTTTATGGCTCATCTAAGTAAATACCCTTATCTCTCCAAACGTTCGTGAAAGATACAAACTGTTGAAAACACATCAACACAGGTTTATATGTGTGTGCTAATGTATTTTTCTGCCTTGTAAACATCTATGCTAATGAGAGCTAGGAAGCAGAGTCCCTAATTCTCCTTAAAAAGAGTGTGCTTAAAAAATAAAGTTAGTCCAGTGATTAAAGCATTGAAGTGAATGGAGAAGCAAATAATTTCTTGACCATACTGAGAATGTAAACAAATTTGACAGAGGCAAAATTGTAACGGAAATTTGTAGGGAAGACTGCCAGAGGGAACACAACATGTTAAAGAAGGCCCTGAAAATTAACTTAGCCAAGTATAAGCAAGCATAATAAAATGTCTGTCTCCATTCTTATTTGTCCACTAAGTTTTTACAATGCTATGGCTATGTGCCAGGAAAATTTAGAGACGATCCAAACATTGTGTGCAAAGTTATAGAATCTGAAGATGATTTCATGAGCAAACAAGATACAATTTTCAGTATGACAATAGCTATCAAATAACAAAATAACCTGAAGTACATTTTGAATCAAACTATTGACTTTTTATAGAGTAAGGAAAAAAAAATTCAGTCCAGGATATTCAACCTACAAAAGTAATATCTAGTTCCATTTTTTCTGTAAGTAGTTTAAGAAAATTTAATGAATTTTTCTGTAGGAGGGCACATGCTGGAGAGATAGTTCAAAGGGCCAAAAACAACAACAAAATTCTGGTTATCAAGGGTTGTGGGAGATTGGTGTGATTTGTTTTAGTTGCGTTTTATAGTTGATGAGGAGAGGGGGCAGTCTTTATTTTCTAATTTTGTGTGCCAGAGATTAAACCCAAGACCCATGGCATGCACTTACTAGAATTTAGTTTGGGATCATACCCAGTTGTGCTCTGAAGAGGCTTCCAGCTTGGTGCTTGGGAGTTGCCAAGGATTGAACTCAGTCCTAACTCTGCAAAGCATATGCTCCAGCCTGCTGAGCTGCCTTTCAAGCACTTAACAGAAGAGTATGTGCACACATGGGACCGAAACCAGGGTCCCATACGTGTGATGTGCTCTATTAGTGAGTCACATTCCCAGAAAGGATGTAGCATCCATATCATTTAATACTGAGTGACATACAGTAGGGTCTGATGAAATTGAAAGAAGTAAGGAAACAAGAATATTTAAGGTTTTTGATGTTCTTTCATATAAGCCAACTTTTCTTCAAATAAGCAAAATTTTTGACCCTCAGGTCAGGGTCACGACTAGCATTAAAAGTTGTGGGTGGGGGAATACTTTCAAGTAAGGACTCATGAGCTAATTTCACATCGTACACTTACTATGGTTCAGACACTATTCTACATGTCGTCGTTTGCCTAGTTTAATAAAGTCAGCCAAGCTGCCTTCATATTTAATTGTTCCCTTTTGGCAGACTCTCATTCAATGGGGTGACAGAATGTCCCACCCCATAGGCATAGGCTTTAGAGGGAAAAATTTGGGGATCCTCAATGTTAGATTACTACACAGTCTTCATTACAGCTGGATTAAAGACAATACCCTGACCAAGAGTTGCCAACGTAGGCAGCCAGCTGTCTAAATGGAGGTCCCAGAGCCAGACAGAAAGTACAGCAGGCAGGGTGCTGGTCTTGACTGTGGTCACCCTGTTGATCCCTCAGACCACATGGTCCCCTGAGCACTGCCAGGTGGGCCCCCCAACCCTCCCAAGTCAAAGGAAAGTCCTAGAGAAATATTGTCATCAGTAAGAATTAACTAATCTGAATTCTTTGGGAATTTTTGTTTGAAGGTAAAAAGAAAAAAGCAAAAAAAAAAATCTCAATGGAATCAGGATTCAGAAGCCATGAGACAAAGGATGAGTAGGTAGAGGTGAATAATTCTTAAAGGGGACTAGGAAGAAAAGTCATTTATCAAAGGTAGTAGTGGTGTTAAAACCCTAAGGTAGTCCAGAGAGCTAGTATAATGCACGTAACCAACCTAGACTCCATCCACAATGCCACATCATTCCTTTAAGAGCCACCAGGTGAGACCCCCAAAACAGGAAAGAAAAACTTTTATTTCTCCCTCTCCCTCTTTGTCACCTCCTGGCTGGCTCTACACTCAGGGATCACTGCTGATGATGCTCTCAGTGGACCAAATGCAGTGTCGGGAATCAAACCCAGGTCAGCTGTGTGCAAGGTAAGCACCTTACCAACTGTACTATTTCTCTGACCCCAAGGCATCTGTTTCTTAGGGTATAACTAAATAAGATGTCGCCTTTGTATATGAATAAATTTTGAAGTTATTATAATAAATAATAAATCTGTTCACTTTGAATTGGTGAACTGTTTCTGTTCTTCCTGAAACTATAATGGAGAACCATTTCTGTTTTTCTTCTATACGCCCCTCTCGGAGAGCCCGGCAAGCTACCAAGAGTATCTCGCCCACAAGGCAAAGTCTGGCAAGCTACCCATGACGTATTCGATATGCCAAACACAGTAATAACAAAGTCTCACAATAGAGATGTTACTGGGCCCGCTGGAGAACAGTAAACAATGGGAGGACAGTGACAATGACAACCCACCTCAAGCAGTGCACGAGGCATTGTAAAAGCGTTTAACAAAGGGGTCAAACTACACAGATGACTGGAAGCATTTGATCAAGACACATTAATTGAGGGGCATAATTTTGTATTCAGTACTGATGAATATCAAAAATGAAATAATTTACTTAAAAAATCTTTTTAGATTGCATTCATCTGGGGAACATAAAGTAACAAAATAGGAAACTAACACCCAAGAATGGCCGAGATTAGTACCAGGAATTTTACTCCATGACTTGCAGGCCAATCACACATACTAGGGGAAAAGGGAGCTCAGATAAAGAGGGGAACACCAAATAAAGGTGTTGGGAGGATCCTCTCAGGATGGGAGAAGCATGCGGAAAGTAGACTATATACCAAACATGATTGTCACCCATTGCCTCTTTTACAAACCACAACACCCAAAACGAGATAAAAAGGTAAAGGTAAAGGCCCTCCCGTTGATCATCGATTTGCTCGAGCAGGCCCAGTAACGTCTCCATTGGAGACTTTGTTGTTACTGTGTTTGGCATATCGAATACGTCACGGGGAGCTTGCCGGGCTCTGCCGTGCGGGCGAGATACTCTCGGTAGCTTGCCGGGCTCTCCGAGAGGGGCGGAGGAATCGAACTCGGACTGGCCATATTGGTTGCATGCAAAGCAAATGCCCTGCTGCTGTGCTATCGCTCCAGCTATCACTAACTTTTGTAAAAGTAAGCCTCCCCATACTCCCCTCCTCTACACTACCC